AAAATTATAATCTGTTATTGTATGGGGATACATATTACACCCTGTCAATAATTGTCTGAAATTTGGAAGTGATGATATTCCGGTTGTCAGAAGTGAAAAATAACTGACTGGATATTTTATGTATTAATAAAATTGATTTAATTTCCTTAATATACATTAATTTACTCAGTTTGTTAACAAAGTGATTTTATCTTTTAAGATTTGATTCTATGAATAGTTTATTTATTTATTTATTTATTTATTTGAACACATAAATATTGGTACAAGGGGGCACCAATTATATATGCGCCACACAAAACAATGAGAATTTGAAGAGAAGGAGAAAAAAAGTAATGAACGTAGGGAATTACAAAAAAAGAGAGAGAACAATAATGGGGGAAACGGAAAGGTACAATTAGAAGAAATCTTTCAGTTAAGGAAGAAGCAACCACTTTTTATGAAGAAAGTAAAAGAAGGTTAAAGCAGGATCGCTATTGGCTTTTATTCTGAGCCATATCTGATAACGTCTCTAGCCACTGTGTTACAACATCTCTCGGACCCCAGCCAGGGAGTCACGAAGGATCAACACAAGCCAGCCCTTTGCAGCTTCCTTTCATACCACGACACCATGTCATAAACTGACCAACTCTCCGCTTCATCCAACCAGTCCCAGCGTCGGCAACTAATGCACGACGTGGAATTCTCTGGGACGACATTCGTAGAACATGTCCAAGCCACCGAAGTCGGTGTTTGAAGATAGTGACACCAATTGTATTATCGTCTCTGTGCCCAACACGCGATGCCGAACCTCTGCATTACTAACATGATGTTGCCACTGAATGTCAGCAATCCTTCGGAGACAACGATGATCGAACACAGAGAGTCATCTAACATCCTCAACTCGGAGAGGCCAGGTTTCACAAGAGTAGAGCAAAACTGCTCTCATCGACGCGTTGTAGATCCGACCTTTTACAGCCAGACTAACATCACAAAGCCGTCAAAGGTGGCCCAGATTGGCATAAGTCGCTCTGGCTTTCACTATACGTGCATTGATCTCATCACTCACGCCACCACCAGCACTTATGCAGCTATCTAGATACACGAACTTCTCGACTACTTCTATCTGCTCACCATCCAGAGTGAGTACAGGATCAGAATCCTGCCAGTCTTGTAGAAGTACTTTGCACTTCGAAGGTGCAAAGCACATACCATACCTACGGACACTGCCAACTGATTAAGTGCGGATTGCATGGCTTGGGCATTATCTCATAGTAAGACAATATCATCCGCATATCAAGGTCGAGAAGTCTTTCTCCAGGCAACAAATCCACACCATCATTACTTACATCCACCAGAGCTGTTTCCAGAATACGGGTCTCGGATAGACAACACACGTCAATATTAAGACTTTCCAAAGACATAGCCAGCCCTATCTGTTGTCCGACCTGCATAAGTGTGCGAACGTTAAAGGCAGCCAGTTTGAATGGTGCACGTGGTTACAGAAAAACTGCTTCAGTACTCGTATTCGGTGGTAACATACGATTTTCAACCAGGCAGTGACTCGAGAACGTTTAGATAGAGCCGAATTTTCACCATAGGCGAGCTGCTGTCTAAGTCAAAACGGATACATAAAGTGGGAATAAGAGAGAGTGAATAAATGACGTAGTAAATAATAATAATAATAATAACAATGATGATAATAATAATAGTAGTGCGAGTCATTTCATTGTAAATTGGAGCGAAAGGAATATTTTCCATAAGTAAATAGTTCATCATGTTTTAGTGCGTGGGCTGAGATACTGCCCGGGTGCCCAAACCGAAGCATGTGGTTTTCTTAGGGGGCTACACCCCGAGCCTTCGACCTAAAGGTCTAATCCACAAGGCAGTGGAGCATCGTGAGGAGATGCAGTCCCATGGTAGCCGGTGACCAAAAATTGGTTCACACGCCATTTGTTCCTTCAGGATACTGGAGCCCATGTGCACCATTGATTTGGGATCCGGTTAAAGCGCCAGACATTCGCTTTACGTTCTCTCATTTTTGTAAACAACAGTAATGCCACGAAAAGTCAGTGAGTAGGACTTCCCTGGCAGAGGCTATATACGCGTGGCCATGTGAGAGCATTTCGAGAGGGAGAGTGGACTCCCCCCACTCTCGGCCATACCAGAGCATTTGGAGACTATGAATAGAATTATCATTAGTCTAGTCATCTGTATTCCATTCTAGTAACTTTAATCAATCAAATTCTACTTAATAGATGTTCAATAAAATTTTAAGATAATGTTTTTATCCACCATTTTGTCGTTTAAAATTATAACTACCTACGGAAGAAAATCATTCAAAGTTTTCAGTATTTGCTTTACTACTGATTAATGTCTTTTAGTGAAAGTAATTTAAAAATCTACAATTTTTTTCTGAAAGCATTAATCAATGTTCCATTAAGTAGTTTATTCATGGAAATAAACAACTATTTTCCATTGTATAAATACATTTCCCACATTGTGCGAGCACTCCATGTACCTAAATAAATGGTTGCTCTGGTTGTCAGAAGGGGCATCGGCCTCGTGACTTCCGAAGAAACTCGGCTTTCATCATGAGGCGTCATAATTCTTCTAAACGAAGACCTCCTGACTCCCAGGGCAGAGTTTAAATGGTTTGAATAATTTTTTCTGGTTAGCGTTTTTTTAGCGAGTTAGTTTTCTACGGGATGGGGTCGCTAACCCCATGCCCAACCCTCCTCCTCTATCCGGGCTTGGGACCGGCAGTAGCCCCCCGAAAGGGACTCCAGGCGGAGTAACAGGCGTAAGTAAGTAAGTAATAAATACATTTCACATATATCTATGTATAGGCACACACACACGAACACACCGCTATTCATAGGCATTATTAGTTTAATAAAACACCGAACTTATTGTCCACAGTTTATTTCAATCATTTTTTATAGTGTTCAATATGGTTTTTTTTCTCATTTTCATTACAAACCATGTAGTGTTTTTTTTTAAAGAAATTATATAACATAATATTATCTTTAGCTTTGAAACGAGGACTAGACATTTTTTTAGTGTACACTGACACATCTCATGGGGTAGATAAATAGACACATATATTCTTACTATACAGCATCCATAATGTATGCTTTCATCACAGGATTTTCATTACGCTATTATGAAATTTCCATTTTTATTTTCAAGATTGATAATCAGAATAGTAAAGAAAAAAGGCAAGAAATAATCACATGCCTATTTTTCCCTACTCTGATTCATAACCTTTGTGATTGAAGAAATGATACATGCACAACATACTTTAATTTTCAAATTCTAATAAGGAAAAAAATTTAGAAACTTGTATACCAAACTTACTGTGAGTAACAGTACACTAGTTACGTGCATGGAAACAGGTAACAATGGCGTAAGTCAAAATAATGCTTGGAACACAGGACTCCTTAAAATAAGTTTCATTTTCTTGATCTTAATACATTTTGTGATTTGATATGTATACAAGTTGATTAATAAATTATCAAATTGCATAATTTCCGTTTGCTGTTATGTACTTGAAAGTAAATGGGCAAGAGAACGTGGATCGAAGTTTCTGGCTAGATTACAAATGTACGCCTTCCTGACGAGTACTAGGTTATTCTGCCAACAAAACTCCAACTACCTAATATCCAGAAATATAGTACATATGATGTCTAGTCATTTAGATTAATGGTTACATTATAATTCGATCAGTGGAAGTACCGTAATCAAGTGATTGTACATTTTTTGAGCTTCCTGTTCTTAGTGGTTGATCTATTTTTTGTCTGAAATGGTGATTTTAAATGTCACATACGTAAATCTTTCTAATTGACCTACAAGTGTGAATTTTTCTTTCAACAAACAATCATCTTTGTTAGTTGATTCGAGCGGTAATCAATACAGAAAGCTCTGCCATGTACGACTTTGTGTACTCTGCTTTGAATCATATTGCATTAGTGCTACTAATACTGCTCGGTTGCCCAAGCTGATGTGCGAATGGTAGGGTTTGAACCTAGAGCCTGTTGGTTGTAAGCTTAGTACTTTAACCATTAAGCCACCGCATCACACTGTTATCCTGAGTTCTCCTTTAGCTTCATTCAATGGACTTTAATATACACGATTGTATAGTTGCTTAAAGTTGTTTACCTTTAATTTTATTATGGTGTATAGTGACTTGTTTTCCTTTGAAATTCTATCCATTACGTAATCATAACTTGTTAGAAACAAAAAAAATTCGTTATATATTGAGTATTTATTTCAGGCCCCCAAAATGACCTGGTACGGCCGAGAATGGGGAGAGTCCGCTCTCCCTCTCGAAATGCTCTCACATGGCCACGCGTATATATCCTCTGCCAGGGAAGTCCTACTCACTGCCTTCACGTGGCAGGGGTGTTGTTTACGAAAATGAGAGGACGTAAAGCGAATGTCCGGCGCTTTAACCGGACCCCAAATCAATGGTGCACATGGGCTCCAGTATCCTGAAGGAACAAATGGCGTGTGAACCAATCGTTGGTCACCGGCTACCATGGGACTGCATCTCCTCACGATGCTCCACTGCCTTGTGGATCAGACGTTCAGGTCAAAGGCTCGGGATGTGGCCCCCTAAGAAAACCACCTGCTTCGGTTTGGGCACCCGGGCAGTATCACAGCCCTCACACAAATCAATTGAGATTCGTGTGGCGCATATGTATTTGGTGCCTCCTTGTACCAATACCTATGTGTTAAAATAAATAAATAAATTTATTTCATATTTTATTCTATATCTTTTTTATATAGTCAGTCCTTAATGAACTTGAATCTACTGAGCAAGAATTATCAGCTAAGTTGAAATCTCTTCAGCATATAAAAAATGAAAAGGTATACTTAAGTTCCATTTATTTCTACTTTATGTGCAAAATCGATTTGGTTAACTTGTTAATCACTAGAATGTTTAAACATATTTTTATGATGACTATATACTGTTAGAGTTGTTTCCTATAATTACTATCGTTTATAATCACGTCCAATTTCGCGTATCAAGTTTTAAGTAGACCAAGATTTCTACGTAACCAGATATGTCCATAATTTAAAGTTTCCCCTAAATGCCTTGGTATAGCTGATGGTAAGTGTCCGTTTTTTATATCAAGTTGTTCTCACATGGCCGCGAGATTACAATCTTTTCTAGGAAATTTCAGTTCACTCCCTTCTCATAGCAGGAGTATTTTTTTAGAGTGACATTGAAAAGTGAATGTCCGGCACTTCAAACCAGATTATTGAATATGAAGGATCTATTCACACGAGTTAGAAAGCTCTGATTTTCGAATTAACCGTGTACATGGGCTCCAGAATCCTGAGAGAACGAATGGCGTTTGAAACTAATTTGATCACCTAGTACAATGGAATTCTAACTTATGGGGTTGCTCCAATATACATTAAAAAGTACATAAACAAAGTGTTATTCAGTAGTAATCATTTCTATCAACTGATTGAAATGTACATGAAAAACTATTTATGTATTCAGCTGGGCGTAGCAGCAGTAGTGATATAGAGTATCAGTTAGTAAACATGTAAGTAAAATGTTTTAAGATTAGAAATAAGTGTTGTGTACCAGAAGGAATCTGTTATCAGTCTCACTATTCTTTTATTTTACACTAAATTAATTTTTTAAATACAGTTTTGTTTTTATTGTTACCATTATTAAATAAGGTTTCTTTTATTATATCTTTCCTATAACTTCCTCTTTTTTTCTTTTTATATCTAAATAGTTTTCTTTGTTCTATTTATCAATAAGTAATAATACGTAACCACCAGTTCTTATGTTAACCTTCTTGTTACTACGGTAACTCGATGTAACAATATCTTTTAATCAATGTCATACGACTTTGGTCAGTAGTAATTGTTGACAGTTAGTTATGTCATTTTCACCTTGTTGTTTTGTTTCTTTTATTTGCATATTTACGTTAATTAAGATGTGTTTATCACATGTATTTAAAGTAGTGTTTACTTACTTATGCTTATTCCCCCTCATGAAGAAGCATAGGTTGCCCATCATCTATTCTATCGTATTTTATTTGGGTATACAGTTTTTGTTTGTGTTTAAAACATTTTCTAATCATTATTCGTCAAATAGTTTAACAACTAATAAAGAAACTGCACATTTTGTTGTAATGCAATTGATATGAGCTCGAACATTAGTCTATGTGTTTGTAGTTTATTATTTCGAGCTTAGTGTACGGAGTGAATAGATAATTACTTCATTAGTAGCTATCATTATTTGTTTAATGGATGAAATATTGACCAGATACTCAAACTTGAAGTAGACGGACTTTCATAGTTAACCATCTCACAAACCTTCAACTTAAAAGTCTAATCCATAGAGCAGTAAAGTAATGTCAGATAATACAATCCAGTAAAAATCTAGAGGATCCTGGATCCCACACTCATCACTGGTTTGAAATCAAGAATTTCCAGTTTTCTTAGGTGAGACGTCCGCTTTCATCCACTTAGTTTTGTAAGAAAACAGTACCATCGTGGTAAGGCAGTGAGTATAACTTCCCTGGAAGAGGCCATAATCTCATAGCCATTTAATTGGACTTCGAGAGGGAAAGCGGACTCCTGCTGTACTGTTAATTCCTTGATCTGTCTATCCAATAATATACTGGAAAGAAATTGTCTCGATTTAGGTTAAGGTCTTGACATAATAGATTAACCTGTTCAACCTTGTGACTAGAAACGTGTGAGCCCAAATTGAGACTAACGGGCTTAGGCAGAGAGACGAAAACGATTCTATCATCTGATTGCTTGACAAATGAAAGAGAAGACTTGCTGACCGGAATACTACTCTATTTATTCCTAATTCAGATTAGTGTAAAAGAAAACATATAAATAAATAGATGACTAACACGATCACAACGCACAAACAATTAGAAAAATACAACTACGTCCAAACTAGGCACTAGGGTAGAAAAATAGAGGATATGGCATTAAATCAGGTATCAAACGACAGCTTATGGTTTATAGAATAACCTAAGGACAATACTAAATATTAGCATTTTACGAACTATGAATTAAGTAAATTATGGCTCCTTTATTTCTCTGCTCACATCATGTACCAAGGTGTATAGTGATTGTATCTAGAACAACAGTATTGCTAGTTGTAAAGACAAGGAAGATTGTCCCAGCGTATTCATCATCATCAATTGTGATTACATTATTTATATACCTTAATTCCTTTTTAAAAATACTCTTATTTATAGGATTATGCAGATAGTTTATTCACATTAGATGCATGTGTGTCACGTTTAGAACGTTGGCTGACACAATCAAGTCAACCATCAGTGAATAAAGAACAAACTATTGATCAATTACATCGTAGATCTAATAACATCATGTTAGATGACACTGATAATAATGATAATGAAACGTCAAAAGATATTAATAATGATGATGATGAAAATGAATTAGATATATGGCCGCCTGAATTCTATGCTGATTGTTCGTAAGTTGTTGTATTTCATTTACTATTTGTGTTGTCCTACTAGATGTATACTGTCTTGCTGTTATGTAAACTTGACTCTTTAATTACCTTAAGTATATTGTTGTGTAGTGATGGAAAACATATGTAGCTCAGAATGATGATGTTAGTGTGTCGTATTCTCCGTATTGAATGATTTAGTTGTGAAGCTTTGATTGTCTTTCTGGACAAAATCATCAGTACGTACTTCGAGGAATAGTGACCATTTCATGTTTTTTCACAATTTATTAAAGCTTGTTTTGTTGTCCATAACTGTCTGGTCGTTCTTTGTTTGTGAACGTCATTTTTTTAAGTGTACACAGTCGCTAATATTCAAGATTATCATAATTACATAAATCACAGTGTTAAGCTGTAATTTTCAAAGGGTGAAAGCATTCAATGACACATTCATACTGTTGAGTCGGCTTCCGAGAATTACAACGGAGCCTCCAGAGGCCCTAAAGGAGCCAAAGTGTTTCCATCCAATCAGAACATAATTGATCTTTTTGAAATATCAACGTGGCGTGCTACTATTGGACAGTGGCATAATATGTCTCTTTGAGGATTGGCCGAATTATAATGCTGATTTAATAAACGCTTATATCTATAAATGTCCGTGATTTTCTGTATATTTCGATTCTTACCAAACAGACGCTCCTTCAGCTTTTCTTCTGTCTTCTGATTTGCGACGGTGAAGTTCCAACGTTCGAGAGTCATAGTCGTAAACCGTATTCTGCGTTAATCAAGTAGCGAACTTAACACATACCTAATGTACTCTTGATCAAATCTGATTAGTTATCTGCTTTGAACATATTATAGAACTTGAAAATAAGACGCCATGTAGATGTTGTTGTACTTTCCACATACAGATTATCAAATTTCTCTCCGTTCATTATAAGGTAGATGAGAGATTGGCTGCATCTTTTAATCATGAACTAGTGTATACAAGTTTAATATCCTTTACTTCTGTCATATGTTACCTAATACTGTTATTTGGTAAAAGTATACTTTAGAAATGAAGCAGTTGTGATTGATAAACTGATCTGTAGGTTTTTGAGCGTAGTTTATCATTTAGAACGAGCAGTGAAGATCACTTCTGTATGCTGCTCAAGAGTGTTTAACATGATAGCAAAAGATTATTTTTTATAACCATAGAGTGAAGTTGTTAGTGTCAAACATATCAGATACCTAATTCTGTCTCTTTAGATTATATATAACAGGCAAATAGATTCTATCTCTAAATCCTAACCCTTATCCTGGCTGCACTACACTTTGTGAATAAACTAATGAGATACTCCATTTTCGATTTTTAAGCGAAATTCATCTATCCATATGATTTCAGAGCATTTTCACTCTGTAACTGATATCAGTTTGTAATTAAAACCCAAACCCCAATCTTTACTTTAAATACCTATCCGTAACTAGGAGCAACAGAGGGTCTCTTAAAAATCTGTCCGGATCCTCAAAAATGTTTGACCAAATGAACAGTCACTGTTCATAGGGACGATTTTTTATGTCGTGGTTTTTTTTAATGCGCAAACGGTAACCTGTAGAATGCAGCTTAGCGAAGAAAATCTTTTCATCGATTTCACTTGCGGAAACTGTGCAATTGTGTTTATAATTAATTTATTTACTAAAAATAACAGTCTATAATAAAATAGAATGGTGTTAAACGGAACTGTTGTTGAGCTTTTGAGCTGTACTTCGTATTGCCTTTTTCAGTTGTCCCGCAATTCTTAGCTGTGCGTAGAACAAGCTCCCTCTTTGAATTAAATCATTGTTCAGTTTACTTGCTCATACGGAGCAAGTTACATTGAGCTTTTTATGAAATACATCTCTGAACACTACCCTATCTGGATATCTAAAGAACTACGTAAGTCAATCAAAAACTCAATCCTAGAGCAAGTAGTTAGTTCTAGTCACTCAGCTTCACCCGACTCCTTTAAAATTATTCATACAGTCAAAAGGGTCGGTTTCAATGGAATTCAAATTAAAGACTTCTGTATGGCAGAGGCTATAGCCTATACCCCTAACTTTTACGTACGGAATCAGTGTGTTCAATCCGTCCTACCATGATCTTAACCTTCCTCTCTATGTTTCATAATCTGTCTTTTTTTTCTAAATTTCTAACAACATTTTTCAGTAGGAAAATATGGCGATCGGAACTATGAGTTGATAAAGTAGATTTTAGATTAATTACATCCTAAGTTATACTTGTATACTTTTAATTAGCTCTTCTACGTAAAATTGCGACTCAGTACATAAGTCTAAACATGGTAAATGAGTAGGTGAATTGACATAAATATATCTTTATTCCGATTTCATGTACTGATCGGTTTGATAATCGAATCTGAATTAAAAATAACAATTCGAACACTGGGATCGTTTTTCAGATTTCATCTTTAACTCAATCCTGCAATTGTTCATTTCCGGGTAAATTAACGATTGCTAGATTGTGTCATAGAACTTTCACATCACATGTTCACAATCTCTTAGAAAATAGTTTACTAATCTTCAATTGAATTACTGAGTTAATTTCATTTGCCATCAAGGGCATGTCTGCAACATATCAGAAATACATACTTCGTCAACGATTCAAACCAGCTTATTTCATCACATTAGTTGTTCTAAAGCTATGAAGTAAGTGTAGGGCATTCACATGATATTAACCTTTTGTTGTTTTAACCATAGTAAAAATAAGCTAGTTATAATCACGTCTTTTAATTATAGACCTAATCATCACTTTCGTTGGAAAAGTAGACTTCAATTATCATTGTAGTCGATTAGAACACCATCTCGTATGTACACTGTGTTAAATTATCCTTTATTTAATTTCTCTACTATTCTCGACATGCTTTAAAATACTTAAAATTCTCATATTGTGAATTAGAGCAACACATATTGTTTTCAATTAAATCTTCATCAGGCTTTACTCTAATTTACAGTAATACTTACTTACTTACTTACGCCTGTTACTCCTCGTGAAGGAGCATAGGCCGCTCACCAGCATTCTCCATCCAACCCTGTCCTGGGCAATCCTTTCAAGCTCTTTCCAGTTCTTATTCATCTTTTTCATATCTGCTTCTATTTCCCGACGTAATGTGTTCCTTGGCCTTCCTCTTTTCCGCTTCCCTTCAGGATTCCAAGTTAGCGCTTGTCTCGTAATGCAGTTTGATGATTTCCTCAATGTATGACCTATCTATTTCCATCGTCTTTTCCTAATTTCCTCTTCAGCTGGAAGCTGGTTGGTTCTCTCCCACAAAAGGCTGTTGCTGATGGTATCCGGCCAATGGATGTTGAGTATCATGCGTAGACAGCTATTAATAAATACCTGTACCTTCTTGATGGTGGTTGTTGTAGTTCTCCAAGTTTCAGCTCCATACAGTAGAACTGCTTTGACGTTCGTATTGAAGATTCTGACTTTGATATTGGTTGAAAGTTGTGTTGAGTTCCATATGTTCTTCAGTTGAAGGAATGCCACTCTAGCTTTGCCAATCCTCGCCTTGACGTCTGCATCTGAACCTCCTTGTTTATCGACGATGCTTCCCAGGTATGTGAAGGATTCCACATCTTCCAGAGTTTCGCCATCAAGAGTGATTGGATTGCTGTTCTCCGTGTTGTGTTTGAGGACTTTGGTTTTCCCTTTGTGTATGTTGAGGCCTACTGATGCAGAGACTGCTGCTATGCTGGCTGTCTTTATCTGCATTTGTTCGTGTGTATGTGATAGGAGGGCTAGGTCATCTGCGAAGTCCAAGTCGTCTAATTGGTTCTGAGCTGTCCATCGTATGCCGTAGTTTCTCTCAGATGTCGAGGTCTTCATAATCCAGTCGACCACCAGAAGAAACAGGAAGGGAGAAAGTAGACAGCCTTGTCTTACTCCGGTCCTTACTTGGAATGCGTCTGTCAGCTGTCCTCCATGCATTACTTTGCACTGTAGTCCGTCGTATGAGTTCCGGATAATGTTGACAATCTTCTCAGGAACTCCGTAGTGTCGAAGAAGTTTCCATAACGTCCTCCTATCTACACTGTCAAATGCCTTCTCATAATCAATGAAGTTGATGTAGAGTGACGAGTTCCACTCAATTGATTGTTCGACGATGATCCGTAGTGTCGCAATCTGGTCTGTGCACGACCGGTCCTTACGGAATCCAGCTTGTTGATCTCGAAGTTGAGCGTCAACTGCGTCTTTCATCCTGTTCAGTAACACTCTGTTGAAGACTTTACCCGGTATTGACAGTAGTGTAATGCCTCTGTAGTTTTCACACTTGCTCAGATCTCCTTTCTTTGGAATCTTGATGAGGTGTCCTTCTTTCCAATCCATCGGTACTTGTTCCTCCTCCCAAATCTTCTTGAATAGAAGATGAAGCATGCTTGTAGTTACTTCGATGTCTGACTTCAACGCTTCAGCTGGTATATTGTCAGGTCCTGCTGCTTTCCCGCTCTTGATTTGTCTGACGGCCATTCTGATTTCTTCTGTCGTTGGTGGATTGACATTTATAGGAAGATCTGTGTGTGCTGCTTCGATGTCCGGTGGATTCATTGGAGCCGGTCTGTTCAGGAGTTCCTCGAAGTACTCTGCCCATCTGTTGCGCTGTTGTTGAATCTCAGTGATTGGTCTTCCTTCTTTGTCTTTGACTGGTCTCTCTGGTTTACTGTATTTCCCTGCAAGCTTCTTCGTCGTATCGTAAAGCTGTCTCATATTTCCTTCTCTTGCAGCTTTCTCCGCCGTCGTTGCTAGTTCTTCCACGTATTTGTGCTTATCAGCTCTAATGCTCTTCTTCACTTTCTTGTTTGCTTCTATGTACTCTGCTTGTGCTTGGACTTTCTCTGCCCTTGTTCGACTGTTGTTAATTGCTGTCTTCTTGTTCTTTCTTTCTTTGATCCTGTCCAGTGTTTCTGTAGAGATCCATTCCTTGTGATGATGTTTCTTGGGGCCCAGAACCTCATCACACGTTGAAGTTAATGCTTCTTTGATACCTTTCCAGCTATCCTCCATAGTAGTTTCTTCTTCCTTCAGTAGATCCTGTAAGGCTTGGAACCTGTTGTTGAGAGCTACCTTGAATTCATTGAGTTTGTCAGTATCTCGAAGGAAGGCTGTATTGAACCTTTGTGGTGCTGTTTGTCCAGTTGTCCAGTTCTTCTTTAGCTTCAGTTTCAATTTGGCCACAACCAGGTGATGATCTGAAGCTATGTCCGCTCCTCTCCTGGTTTTCACATCTTCCATTGTCCTTCGGAACTTTTTATTGATGCAAATGTGATCTATCTGGTTCTCTGTGGTGTGGTCCGGTGAGATCCACGTAGCTTTGTGTATACGTTTGTGTGGAAATGTTGTACCGCCTATGACCAATTTATTGAATGCACACAGATTTGCAAATCTTTCCCCGTTTTCGTTTCTCTCTCTCAGTCCATGTAGTCCCATGATGTCTTCATATCCGGTGTTGTCCATTCCGACTTTGGCGTTTAGATCTCCCATCAGAATGGTGAGGTCCTTTCTTGGGCACTTCTCTATGATTGATTGCAGCCTCTCATAGAATTGATCTTTAACGTCGTCGTTGCTATCATTGGTAGGTGCATAACATTGAATAATGTTCATTGTGATCCCCTCCTTCTTTGTTTTGAATGATGCTTTGATGATTCTGGATCCGTGAGATTCCCATCCTACAAGTGCATTTCGTGCTACTTTGGATAGCATTAGAGCAACTCCCTGAGTGTGTGGAGCATTTTCCTCTTCGTGACCGGAGTATAGCAGCATCTCTCCTGTATTTAGCCTTTGTTGTCCAGCTTGGGTCCAATGGGTTTCACTGATTCCCAGTACTGCCAAGTTGTATCTCCTCATTTCCGTTGCTATTTGACTGGTCTTCCCGGTCTCCCACATTGTCCGGACGTTCCATGTACCTATAAAAATTGTTGCTCTGGTTGTTAGAAGGGGCATCGGCCTCGTGGCTTCCGAAGGAACTCGGCTTTCACCATGAAGCGTCATATTACCTCTAACTCCCAGGGCAGAGTTTAAATGGTTTGAGTTATTTTTTCTGGTTAGCGTTTTTTTAGCGAGTTAGGTTTCTACGGGATGGGGACGCTAACCCCATGCCCAACCCTCCTCCTTTACCCGGGCTTGGGACCGGCAGTAACTCTGGAAGAGTTACAGGCGGAGTTAATTTACAGTAATATTTTTATGCATATCTGAAAATATTAAACCAATCAAGGAAGTTTGTGAATTCGGTGATAATAGTGAAGTAGATTAGAAAAATAAACAGTCAGTAAAAAGTACAAATTGATAGTTTGATGACGGATGTACTAGTTGTGATAAAAATATTAAAGGCTTGAACCAATGTTTCATAATAGGAAGTAGGTTAACGACTTCGCAAAATCAGACCGAAACAACATTCGTTAAAATTTATTAAAGTTGACTTATAAGAAGTGTCCAGATAATTGGACAGCAAAGCGTATATCTGAAAGAAGAGTCGAAGAAAAATCGATAAAGAGTATGGAAGATATTAATAAATGAAATCGTTTGTCAAGGTTAATTCGGCCATGCAAGAGATAAGGGTGTTCCGATTTTCTTTTGCACACAAAGACTTGAATTGTTAGTACGAATCCCTATAGCTTCTGCTATGTGTAAGAGACGAGATCGAACCACATAAGGAGAGATAGTAGGTATACTGTAAATTACTTCGAATGATTTATTCCTATGTATTACACGGCTGCTATCGACTAAGTGTGACACAACCGAGTTGATTATCATACCATTTCCTAAGGGATGCGTGCACTAACTCGTTGACTCAGTTGTCTGGTTGTACACTCAATTTAGCTTTCTTCACAGGAGCAGCTATATTTGTAGATACACATGAGTGTGGCAAAACGCCTCACTCTCCAGTTGTCTGAATACTTTATATTACGTAATTTTTAAAAATAGTAGTTCAGTGTCTATTTTTACAAGCCGCTGACAACATATTTCGTCCAAAATATAACTTAGCACTGCAAACATGTGGATTGAACAAAATATAATTACTACTCTGCAACATTGATAAAACAATCTGTTATAACCCTCGATATTACTTCGTCTAATGTTAAAACGCTTAAACGATTATCTACACTAGATCCTTCTCAGTGTCTATTCTACAGAACTTCAACACAACTCAGACCAAGAACACGTAATTAGCCTGACCAGAACGTAATATATTTTCACATCCAAAACCGACACAACCCACAACAATGAGCAACCAATAATAAGTGTATGTGTCGCAATAATAAGGATAAGGGATTATATAGCTTATCTGACACCTGTCAGACTAAGCAGACAACCAATCATGATCATTTTCGTCCACACATCACCTCTCTCTCGAAGTTTGGTCGTATGACTTCACTTTTGGGTCTATTTGAAAAAATCTCGTTTGTTTTCGTTCCCTTGATGATTTTCGGCTGGCTTCTGATTTCAGCTCATTTCAACCTGTGGTGGAGGTGGGATATTGTATGTATCACATAACACTTCCATTGATAAAGGTTTGGCCTTAAGTGACTCATAAACACGTTTTTCTGTCTCGCAGGTGATTGATGTGTCTAATAATTAGTGTATTTTTGACCATCACTTCGTACATTACCGTCCCACATCTTTTTTAACACATCTATCTATCCATTTTGGCTTGCCAGGCGGGAATCACGTGAACAGACTAAGTCACCTGCTTTAAATTCTCGAATCTTCGAACAATTTCCTTCCCTACTTTTTTGTAGTCCATTCATTCTGTCTTTCGGGTTCAAAACATTAAAAAATGTTCGGCCAAATATTGTTTTGGCTGGTGATTTAATCGTACTGCAGACTGTGCTCAACGGCAGGTCCCATAAACCAAATTTATTTATCCAGTCAATAACCTAATAAGTTGGTATGACAGTTTCCAGACACATAGCATTTTCCGGTCTTATTCTTGTCACCCAATGTAAGAGAGCTACATTTCTCCAAGAAGGGTAATGTTAGTTCCGGTTGCACTCTTGGCGTTATAATATGTAGGGTGATATCGAGGTCGACCAAGTTTTATCCACGTCTCTCTAGAAATTAATGTTATGTCAGACCCCGTATCAATTTGCAGCTTAACCGGTTTACCATTGAAAAACATAGTTACATACTTCCTTTTAGATGAAAACTGAGCACCTTTTGTGGTCAGAACAACATTCGAATTATGTGGGATCTCTTTTGATGTCCGCTTCTTATTTCCTTTACGAAACTTACACTGATGGTCGACAATCTTTTGCCCACTTTTATAACATACTCGTGCATGACCATATTTGCCACAAAGGAAATAAACTCTTTTTTTTAATAGCAAACATTAGCAGAATGACGCTTACCGCATCGCCAACAACACGTTTTGGGTTTCATTTGCTTTGGAATTTGCTGAGAGTACTGATCCTTATTTACATTAAAAGCTTTCCGCAAAGTTTTAACTTCCACGTGTTCACTGTTCTTTTCTACTAGATTTGTGTCATGCTTCAAATTAACCATTCTTTGACATTCTTCAGATACTGATTGCAGACTGATATTAGGATCTTGTTCTATTCTCTTTAAAATACGTGTTCTGATATCTGCATCTACCGCAGATTGTAACCCACATACAAAGATAAGGCATTTGAATTGATCTGAGGACATTTCCTGTAGACGGAACCGCTCACATTCCCGGTTCACGATGCTTGCATACGTCATATAATCGTCCTGTGGTTTTTTCACAAGCTGGAAACACTGGTATCTAGTGTGAAAAACTGATGATCGTTCACCTAATATACGTGTCAGGCACTCGACTGTTTCTCTGAAGGTTATGTCGGTTGTATTCTTTGGGAGAGTAAAATTACAGAACTTTTCATGTTCAGACACTCCGAGCTTTCGTAATAATAATCTCAGTTTTGAACCTTCGTCCCACTCTTTACAATCATTAATAAATAAATCCTCGTGGCGTTTTAACCATGCCTCAAAAGTAATTCCACATCACCGTCGGTAATTGCTATAATTTGTCGTTTGTACTTTAGGTTCTTTGCTTTTCACCCCGTCGCCAATTTTCAGATTTGATCCAGAATGTGGATCAAATCTAAATTCATTTATTCAGTTTGCATTTATTTAGTTTGCAACATTAGACGAAGTAATACCGAGCGTTATAATACAATCCTCTTTTCATTCATTTTTTTCCTTTAAAGTCTTCATGAAGATATTGGACAACGTATGGATCGAATTGCTAATGAATACATTAAACTTCAATTTTTCAATAAAAAGTGTCGTGGTCATCCAATTTTAAATTCGTTAAAACCAGTACGTGTTTAAAAGTAATTTTACTTTTTATTTAAGTTCGTTATCGTTTCATCTTGTTATCTGACTTGTACAATAACTCTGTATTTTAATGAGTTAAGCATTTTGACTTTTACCGAACATGTCTGAATCGACGCGTTTCGAACAAAAATGATTTTTTGTTATTCGCTGTACTAGTTCTTTTTCATTTTGGTCATGAATTGACCTAAGTTAGACACCTGATAAAAACCTTGAAGCACTGTTGAACTATTTCATCTTATTAGAGGACTTATCAGCAGAATTTATCAACAACCTCATTGCGGATTGAACCTTCATACTCACTGGTGTGTAGTCCCACACAAAAATAAAACAACCATCCAGTACTTCCAGGTTTCCACTTATGGTCTAACTAAGATCGATCCTTGATTTACCTGTGAAAATTGTACAGTTTCCACAAAATTCCTTTTAATTGAAATGTATTCGTATTTATCTCATTTAATAAATGTGCATTGTCAATTGTTTAATTCAAATCATTATTGTCTTCTCATAACTTAAAGAAATGATACAATGATCAAAGGATAAATGCTAACCTTTATGATTCGTTTGAACGAGATAGGCTATGATATTAAATATATTATAAGTAATTGGATTTAGCGATTTCTTTGAATAGGATTATTCTAAACAGTTCTATTCGTCAATCCCATAATATTTAATTAAAATATGGATTTGTATGTTGCATTTGTCATAAATAAATTTCAGGTATAATTCTATTCAAGATCAGAGAGCACTAGACAATTTTATCGTCCTAACATTGTACTCCTCAGTAGTACAAACCCACAATTTCTCTTCACCGATCCCAACCTCAGGGTCTTCTGTTCTTGCTGCAAATGCTTAAACATATAATCAATGAGTTGATATCTAATTGTACAACTCGAATTTCATTGAATGTGCAATCAAGAACATGATGATTATTCCTATTTGTATCAAGTGTTTCACTATTGACATACTTAAACTCTTACAGTTACGACTTCATACAAGATTTTCAGGAAGGAAATCACTAATAAACTGACTGTCATCGTTTACTTGGAGAGATTTTGAAGGTATATATATTCATTGTTTACCTACTTATTTGTTGTATTTTTCTTATTCAATATGATTTCTTGATTCTCAATAGATTGAATATACATCAATTTATTTTCTTTTTTAAACAAATAAACATTTGATTTTAGCGTATTAATTGGATTACAATAAATCTTCAAGAACAATTAGAAATACGTTTAAAGGAGAGTTTTAATGCATGTTGTTTAACAGTAATTAGTACAAATATTGATTGTACAATACCTAAACATTCTATTGAACAATTAAGACGAGTTATTTCTATATATTTGGCTATTGATAAATTATCCGATTTATTGATACTATATCGTAAATTTGTACTTCATGATCAACTTAGTCAGGTTTGTTATTATTGACCTACTTTGTATTTATACTATTGTTGGTGGTGGTGTTGTTGTTGTTTATTCACTAGTTATTTTATTAATCATTAATTTTATATTCTATTAATAAATTTATTAAAATTCTGGAAGTGGAAGGAAGAATCTTCAGAAAACTTTGTTGCTGATCAAGTTTGTATGCTACTTATTGATGCTTATCGTCATACCTTGTCTAAAAACTTGCGAGAATTGTTTTACTGTCTCGTAGAACTTCTTTTTTAGTTATGCCCTAAAAATAATGGTTAAAGGTTGAATTTCTTCTTTAAAAAAAACAGCAATGGATTCTTAAGGAGATTCATAATCGACCATATCGTGAAATATAGATCATTTGGTTTTTTTTATAAAAAAAACAGACGACTCAGCGTTCAAAATCACCTAAAATGTAGATAGAAACCTGTTAAACACAGTGAACTTTAGCTATGCTGAAACTTTCACCATACATTTAGAAGAGCTAGAACTGCGTGTAGAAAAAACAATTTATTCAACCTTTCCTTCTATTTATGATCTTACCCTCTAGCTTTTCAAAACCGTTACTCTTGGTTGATTTCTTCCGTATTCTTTCTGATTATATTTCTTTTCAGTTTCAACACTTTATCATGTCATATTATGCAACTTCTTTTTTTCACAATACCTTATCGTTATCTAAATTCTATGAAATTATTCTTCAGTGAATATTCATGCTTTTCTATCACAGTTTTTATGATAACAATAATATTTTTTTCTAAAGTATAATTCTGTCTACTTTACTTCGCTGTCACACGATGTTCAGTATAGTAAATTATTGTAATTTTATTGCTGTGAATATGAATTCATCAAATAAAGGAGGTTAACTCTTTACTGAATCACTTTTCTTTATTCTTATGTCTCCATTTATTCATAGAAATCCAATTAAGTTTGTTTTCTTTGTACTAAAACTAATTGATTGATTGATGAAATAGCTGATCAATGATTAAATTACAGTCGATAGTTTGTTTACATAATTACTTAATAATTATAAAAAAATAATACAGTAATTAGTTTTCAATAGTTGAAATCATCAGTCAATTGAAGCTAGACCACCATGGAAAACCTGGAAACACTGGACGGCCGTTTCGTCCTAGCATGGGACTCCTCGGTGGTGCGCACCCACGACCCCGCCCTGGCGATTCGAACCCAGGACCTATCAGTCTCGCGCCTAACCAACTAGACCACTGAGCCGGCATCCAACGATGTTAATGTCTAACTTCAACCACGAAGTTGTGCCACCGTCACCATTGTCTTCAGTGAGCTGATATATATGTATATGTATGTTTATTTGGTAGCATAGAATTCGGTAATTTATACATCATCTTATCAAATTATTACCTTTTTAAGTTTCCTCATAGTTTATACCATGAACTGATCTTAACTAAACTATCATTAATTAAAAAACCTGAAAGCCATGAACGGTCCTTTTTGTTCGAATTCTCGTTTTATGTTAATTTCATACCTAGAAATTATTCATTATCTATTATTTACCATCTAATTTCGTATTGTTCAATCTCTTTTTCATCATTATATGATTTCGTTTTTACCGTCTTTAATAATTTCATTACTCAACAGTAACACTTACTGAATAGAATAGAGCAAAAGCAAAGATTTAATCAGTATTTCATGAGTTTATCTTAATTCTTTAAATCCTTTTCCAACGGCTTACAATATTTTAATTATCAAAATTATCTCAGAAGTCCATGTAGTAAAGTTGACTAGAGGTGTAAATCTGTATCGTAATGATCGAACAAAACATTTTTGATAAAATTAATAGCAATTATTAGAATAGGTATTTGTGAAGATTGTAGCAATTTTGATAGTTAAATTCATTAGTCCACCATTGAAAACCTGGAAGTACTAGATGGCTGTTTCGTTGTACTATAGGACTTCTCATCAGTGCACATCCACGATCCTACAGGCGGGACTCAGAGTCCGACACTAGGACGCAACGACTGTCCAGTACTTCCAGGTTTCCGATTGTGGTCTAGCTTAGATCAACTCATGAATTCAACCATTAAAAAAGAATTTTTTAAATAAATACAATGTAAGAAGGAAAATTCCAGAAAATCGGAATGGTAACTAAAGTCTATAGAGGTGAAAAAAACTAGACTGAATGCGTAATGAAGTAATTAAACACAGAATGATGGTAGCAACGAATAAAATGAGTTTGAAATCAGTCAATTAGAAATAAAATTATTAATTCGTAAAAGAATGAAAGTGATGTAACCAAAGTATAAGAAAGGGTTAAAATAAAAGATGATTCAATGAAGTGAGTGTAATGTTACGATGATGAAGAAACACTTATCACAGTTTCATATGTTTTATTCCTATTGTTTTAGCGAATTTCAGAAGACCATTGTTTAACTGTTTGTTAATCACCATGAAATACTTCAGTGTATCAATTTGATATCATACGTCAAGAATTTATCTTGAAGCCATTTGATCCCAAACATTTTTGGAATATGTTCTTTGAATCAAGCGTAGACCTTTCGGTCTGTTTTGCTAAGTTCATTGCTTTAGGATCTGCATGTAAATTTGTACACACAGTTGGCGGTAACATGAAAAGAGTATCTTTACTGGCATTAAAGAACACTTTGTTTTGTATAAAACAGGACATGTTCTGTTTAGTTCAGATTTTAATTTTCTGTTGGTTATCCCTGAAACATCATCACTTTTGAATTGAAGTTGAACAGAAATAGGTTTTGTTGTTTATTCTATTTTATTTGTCCTTTCTATCTTCACATTTTCCATATTTCTCAACAAACGTCTGCAGATACTCGATGTTCCTTAGGTGTTTTCAACATTCAGTTTTAAGACGACATATTTGTGTAGTTTAATGAGAAAACGAAGATTGTCAGAACTATGCATCAATATACCACATAGTTCTAATCATATTCATCTTCTCACTACACTATTCAAATTCATCATAGAGACTAATTGCTTTAAACATATTCATAGTGAAATTGTCATTGTCAATTGAATAAAATCTCATTGACTTATTTGTCACTAAATAATACTCTGGTATCTAGTTATCAGTAGTAGTTAAACTTTAAACGTCAATTTTCCAACGTTTTTATGCTGTATCCGAAGAAATTTGAAATCTTTCTCCATAAAGTATATTACCGAATTTTGTAACTCTAATTTATGCAGTGGTCAATAAGTTAAAAATCAGATTGATGTTTAGCATTGCTTAACCATAGGTTGTATGGGTACGTTTTGAAAATAGTTTTACAGTTTCCACAAGAAAAAAATAATCTTATTTATTTATTCTGCTTTTTTTGATGAAATAGATATTTACTCCTCGACCGGAATTGACTCATGCAGGTTCTGACACTGCAGTAGCTGCTGAGACTTTGAACTCGATGTACACCAGAGCACTGAAAGTTCTTGATTCACAGATTTATTATGTGAAAGAACAGATCATTAAATGCTCACCTGAAGGGTAAGTAATATTTATTGTTGTATTTAAGACTTATTCAAATTGTTATTTGGTTTCGAGTTCAAGACAGTTGTAAAAGTATCTAACCACAGTTTTCACATCAATGTAGATCAAAACCCAAAAATGACTGGTGAGTTTTTCCAATCTAAAGTCTGCAATTTGGCTAATGAGTGCTATAGAACAGGAAACTTTCCGGGTTTCCAACCTTTAGCTGAAATATACGGTTCTGACGACGTTTACTCTACGACGAACACATAAAATATCTATCTGATTGTAACATGGTGACATATCCATGAGAACTAACCAACAACCCAAAACAATCATCCAGAAAGATTTTGTTAGGATGGAAGGTGATTAATTAATTTAAGTTTGATTCCAGCATGTCATGTAAACTTGTGCCTTTTTGAGTCTCATGAAATCACTAATGTTTCAGCTTAAGAAATAAATTCTTGCCTTCCCAGTCCGATATCCAACCGGCGGATTAAGGTTTAAAACACTGAAAAAAACAGGACATTATGTGTTGATCTTCAATTATAAATGAGTATTTAAATAAAGCCAGAATAATATTAATTGATTATATCTCATTGTTTCTCTTAAGCTTCTTACAACCGTATTCCTATTAAAGTGTAACATTGGGGTACGGTATAACTTCCAGTAATAGATATTCCCATAAATTTTAAGCATTTTATTACATTTCATTTGTTTCCTCTCCTCAAGTTATGTTTTTGTGTACTGTGTTTGAAGTGCAACAAATTATGTTTGACATTTTTACATAGTTGTGCTGATTTGTCTTGTTCACAACATAACTGTACTTGTGTTCGTGTGTGCATGCTTGTGTACGATTTATGCATTAATATATAGTGTGTAATGGCCTGTTATTCACTTTATCGTCTGTTTATGACTCGACGTACGATAATTACTGGTTCAAAGTAGATTTGAGGAAAGCTAGGAGTGGTCAAACTAAGGCGTAGCATCTGTTCGATTAAAAACCGGCTATTGGACTGAGTCAAGTAGGTAAGTACAAACTATGTAGTTAAGTTCCATGCAATTACTGTAACCGATGGTTGTGGACTTCGAAATGGCTTAGATGCATCTATGGTGTATGCTAGTTACGTTCGCACATATAAGTAGTATGTAACACCAGTCTCTCCGTGGATATTATGTTTTAAATTCCTACAAAAAAAATTTTCACAAGTTTATATTTTCTTCCTAAGTCGTATCTTCTATGTCCGATCTCTTCAATTACCATCAGTACTGTTGCTGCATTTACTACTCTGGATTTACTTTGACAATTTAATTTCACTGTGCTATGGAGTATGCCACTAGACGATTTGGACTTTACAGATCACCTAACTCTTACATCTCATACACAGTGACAAATAAAGGTGAAGACAACTAGTGTAGCAGCAGCCACTGCAACAGTAGGCCTGAACATACACAAAGGTAAAACCAAGATCCTCAATTACAACACGAAGAACACCAACCAACACAATCACAATTGATAGGGAAACGCTGGGAGAGTTGAACAGTTTCACGTACCTGTGAAGCATCATCGATAAACAAGGAATTCGTAGAAATGAAGATTGCTTACATTGATTGTTATCTGAGTAATGACCGGTATCATATTTGTATAGTTCTTAGTCTCGATCGAATTCTGTCAACTAAGTTGCGCTATGGACGCTGGTCTAAGTGATTTTGCACCCCGTAGATTATATCTTTGTGATAGATGGTCTGAAGTAATCGGCGAGAAACCCTGTATTTATGTTTCGTTCTAGCTGTTACATGTCGTCAAGATGTGACCCAGGTTCGAATCCACTAGCGAGCATCAGTCCCTTCAAGACTGCAGGTATACCCTGCTGAAAAGTGCCAATTAGCATGTAACTTAGCACTAGGGCCTCCAACCAACCACCCAACAACAAAAAGCGTGAGATAATACTGAGTACTGGGGTATAAGAAAAATCGAGTCCATCTGCGTGACTTCAGCCGAGTGTGAACTATATCACCTAATATCTTTAACTACTGATCACGAGTATCACGCCGATCCCCAACGGCGTAGTCGACATTTGTCAAAATGGTTTAGTTCAACAGTCAATGATTTGGTGAACTGATATCATGGTTTTGTTTAGGCACTCCTACTCCATCTGGGATTACACATCAAGGTAGATGGTAGGTGGATTATATGTGTTAATACGTAGATTGATCTTGTTTATCACTCATGTTTCGTTTCATATATTGCTTTTAGTATAATAAGATGCATTATTATTCTTTTTAACTAAAATCCAACTACCTAGCTCTGAACCTTTATCGGATTTCGATTGTTTAGTTGGTGGATTTTTGCCTGAAACAATTGATCTTATCTGTAATAATCTACCGGAAATATTTTCTCCAGGTCATCCAGACAAATTTTATTCAGTAAGCAATTTTCATTTTGATTTATATTTATGTATTGCTATGCATTTTTAATTTAACATTTCATTCAGTTACAAATTCCTAGTACAATCTATTTGTATCGTTTAATTTGTTTAAATATAGTTAGCAAAAGACTACCATAAATCATAACATGATACCGATTCATAGGATTTTTTCTAGACTACTTTTTCATATATGTGTTGTCCAAGAGTTGGTATTGACACACCAACTTCCCATATACAAGTCTCAACCTGCTAGTGAGTGAGAAGACTAAGAATGAAGAAGGAAATTTATTAGGCTAAACCGATTGACATACGTAAGCCACTCATATATATACTCTGTAGTAAATAAATCCATTTCTTTGCTAATTACATGCACTTATCAACACGACTAAATTTTCAACTTAACTCTAGCAACGTAAGTAAAAAGAATATTCTGTAAAATACAATCATTACATTGTATTTAGTCGCGTTCTCCTAAGCTGCATACAAGCTAATAATTTTGCTTAAGACAAAACTGCGCATTCTAAATCTCATTACTTTCCACAATCCATCTATTTTCTGACATTTGTAAAAAAAGTAGCTATATCGAGGCAATACACACAGGTTGTACTTATACTGAGACTGATCAAAATTCAGTCGTAAATATCATCAGCGAGATAATTCCAAACTCTTACTAATAATGATATAGACACCATACCCTGTTGAACAAGTTAGTGATTATATGGAATTTGTAACTCTATGGATAACTGATTGACGTTTGAAGCAAAATGTTTCAGGTCCGGGTTCCAACGTAAATGCCAATACTGGGTTCCAAATACATTCTAGTGATGATTTCCAAGTAAGAAAAAGTGCAGATTTTGGATTCCACTTCTAGCCACAACCCATCTGTTTTACTTGTTGTTCTTACTTGAAAGGTTTGTAAAGGGAAATAGTTACATAAAAATTATTGTCCGATTAGTATACACACAATAATCTGTAGTATAGTATCTCACGGCTAAGATATCTCACTGATTATTAGTCTACTTGGAAATATGAATGTTTAGATGCTGACTCAATGGTCTAATTGGACTAGGCATAGGGTACCACATAATGATGGAAAATTGGTTAATGAGGTAGTGAATCTTTATCGACTGAGGTAGTTAGGATATGTTCTGCGTATACCAAACCATCGCCTACCTAGACGGGTGATGTTTGCTAGTGTGGGGCCGTTTGGTAAAAAGTTATTAATGGGGTAAACCAAAAAGTAGTATCAGTCTACGGAGTCAGTGACTACCGAACCGAGCTGTGTTTTAGGGGCAACTAACCAATTAGGATTCACGCGATTATCTCAGTAAGCGGTAGGAGACATTGGATGATGTGGCTCCGAATCCGCTTCAATGACTTGGATTATTCTTTTTTTTTCATGTTAGAACCTGAGTCTCAGAATCTTAAAATTCTTTTTCTCCTAACACCTAGTGGTTTCTAGCGATACTGTTTTTGTATTATTATGAGATTTGTCTTAATAATTTCATCTTGCTATACTAATGTAGTATGACAACATGAACGAATACACGTATGTGCAGATTTCTACTTTGCCTGTGACTAACTGGTCTAATTTAGATACGTTCACGGCAGTCTAAAAGTCCCGAACTCGATTCCTGAAGAGATTGTAGGTTTCCAATGAACCAACAGATGTTATATACTACAATGAAACAGCTATCTAGTGCTCTCTAATTATCAAAGATTGTCGATCTAAAGTCGATTCGTGATTGTAAACTATAAAAGGAATCTCAGAAATGATATAAACATATCCATTTATAATTATGATCAATAATGTATTTTCCTCTTCATTTTGTATTCACTTTTCCAGTTATATACTGTTAGCATGAATTTTATTGAAATGGTTGAAACAAAAACCTGGTCAACTAAACAACTTGTCAATTTACGCAATCATCCATCTTATTCAATGTTTATAAATAAATGGAGTTTACCAGTTTACTTTCAAATCAGGTAATTTAAAACGATATATATATATATATATATATATATATATATATATATATATATATATAGTCTAGTTTTTGTTTCGAATAAGTGGACTATTATTACTCGGACGATAATTATGATTGTTCAATTGATTTGTTTAGAAAATTTTTACATAGTTAAAAACAAAATTGACAGGAAAAAAGTCATAACATGTTTATTATCATGATCATTCATGAATATGAAGTATAGATTTGTTCTCGAGTCAATTTCTCTCAGTATCTCATCTATAATAATGAGATGAATAGATATTATCAATGAATAATTCACTTTGTAATTGTGAAATACTGAAAGGCATATAAGTGGTTACATTATGTTATAGGTTAAATAAGCTTAAAAATTATAGCCTGTCAAAGCATACTGAATGATGAAAACAGCTTGTAGGTTAAATACATTTTTTATGAGTCTCTTTTTTATAATTTTGGCCTCCAGCTTGATCAGACTGAGATTGATGCATTCTGATTATGAGCCTAACGAGAATATGTCAAATATATATATATATATATATATATATATATATATATATATATATATATATATATGTCTAGCATCATCCGACATTTTGTCCATTAGATTAACTACCGACTGTCATTCATAGTTGACGTAGGTGCCTGGGCATGAATATGTAATCAGCTCACATAAGCATCATGAAAAAGAAATTTAGCACTGGATGAGAAGTAAACGACAGGAATTAGTTTTAACTGTTGTTGTGAACGAACACTCAGGTGGGTACAACCAATTTATTATTTAACATAAAAGTAGAATTCTTTGATAAATTGTGAAAACCATACATTAAATTCTTCGTATGCAAATCCTTCATCAATTGTCGCAATCTTAATCGTTCATTCATTCTTATTTCAATTACTCTCTGTTCATGTTCTCTTCGGTTCGATCTTCCCAACCTTCTGCTACCAGGCGTTCCACTCCTGATTGATGTTACATACTACTTATGTCTGTCGATAGAAGTAGCATACACCATACAGTGACTGGGATTTTAATCGGCCAAATACGGTTCAAAAATTAGCAATGAGATTTGGAAATAACAAATGATTTAAAGCTAAAGATTTTAATATATTATCGAATTAGTTATTAAAATAAGAATTCTGGATCACAGAATTATACTAGCTGTAACATTAATAAGCCAGGTCGGCGTAAATTTGAAGCCTTTCTCATCTTTGAATATTCAAATGAACTCTATCTTTGTACTGATGAACAATATTTAGCTGTCAAGCGCCATCATGCATCAATGCACATAGAAAATTGTGGGTGCATATTTGACTGGGAATATTTTGAGATGTTGTACAAAGGAAGTACGAAGAAGACTAGATGATTTCTAGAAGTTTGGCACTCAAGTCAATCAGTAATCAATATGCACATCGGAATTTATCCAATTTGTATATATATATATATATATCTTCCGTGTTGTGTATTTCAGTGGAAGTTTTTGATTGTTATCTAACCATTATTATTATTTTCCAGGTTCCAAGAAATAGCTGCAAATGTTGAAAATGCTATGAAGAAAGGTCTGATAGAGATTAAAGAAAGTCAAAAATGTATGTTTCTTTTTTTCCTTAAAGTGGGGAATAAGTCTTCTTTACTTTGTTTCCTTTAAGGTTTCTGTATTACAATGTTGATGTTATTACACTGCTTGCAAAAGCTCAAATTTAGCCTCTTATGGGTTACAGTGCTTCGCAAATAACTCAAATTTACATTAAATTATCTACCCCATATCCAACCATGAAAGGAGCAAAAAAGTATATACTATCTTTTGTTTGTTGTCATCTCAGTTGTTAGGGATTCGAGGTATTTATTTTCTTTCCAAATGTTCCTTATCACTACCTCTTCCACTACGGGATTTGAATCGATAACTGAATCTCTGTGCTAATGTGGTGTGACAACTCGAACTGATGTACGTACGTACGAAGTTCTACGTTGTTACTGACTGACTGATTTGAGGTAGAGAATAATACAAGGTGATACAAATCTGAATTGTTGGTTATTACTTTGACTATGGAATTTCGTAGTACCTGTACATTCCATAATATCACATACTTGTTATTCAATAAATAAGCGTTTAGTTCACTGCAATATATCTGAAGCACAGTGACAGCAAAACTAAAATCCAGTTGCACTATCTAATTAACAATTCAACAGATAGACAAAGTCATTGCAAGACCTGTTACAGTATGCATTAGTCTAATCTGTAGCAATGTATAGAAGCTCAGAAGGTGGGGATCATTGTAAGATTGTTGTGATCTAAAGCTTCCGACGATTGATTCTGATAGATTCTTGAACTTTAATCACAAATTTTATAATTTTTGAAACTGTTCTGATCACTAGATACTGGTTTTTTCGAGTGAAACACCTTACTGCTGTCACACCCCTCCACAGTCAGCAGTACGACTTCGCTCTCGGACTTTAAGTTGCTACTTTTAAGTTTTGCTGTTCTCCGGTCGATATACCTGATATTGTAGGACCTACAGAAACATATGTTCCTGCGATTATAACTTGGTTGAGATATCACAATATGAAAGCCCGACCACCGAGTCAAGGTAACAGCTATGATCGAGGAGTACTTACAGTTCAACACAAAACCTATATCCAGAGTTTTTGCAAATTATTTTCAATTGTCTAGCATAGATAAGTTTACACACATGTAAATATGTATTTTTTTAAACATCAATTTTGTCTTTGATATCGTGGGGGAGTTAACCTTCAATGTATGTATATATACGTATTTTCATTCTGTAAATTTACAGCTTGTTTAATTGAAGTTACCGAAGTAGTTATCTGTCAATTGAATCGTTGTTGGGAAAAAGGAATTTATTTAGATAAGTTGATCCATAGATTTTGGAAATTAACTCTACAAATATTAAGCCGTTATTCAAGTTTTATTGATGAACAAATAAAGTCTGTCCAAGCGGTAAGTATAGTATGTATATAGTACACGAAAAGTGTTTACAATTATCATGCATAAGTCAATTTTCTGATGTTGACTAACAAGTGTTGTAGTGTTTTAATTTAAATTAGATTTCATGTTTACTCTGGCGTTTTTATATAGAATATGCTAGTTTTTAATAGTTAAAAATATTCGACTCCATTACCATTGAGTAACATGTTCAACTCATACTTTCTATCTACTTCAGTTTGAGCAAAGTGCATAGTGCTATCATTAAGCTTGACATAGAATCTATGATTGTTCAAAAACTTGGATATACTAATCTGAATTACATTAAATTAACTTCCTTAAATAATAGATTATATAATATACCCTTGTGGGCCAGAGTAGTTTTACATCGGTTTTCAGGAGAACCAGACACCGTCCAGACTTTCACGTGACAACCCAAGCTCGTTTAGCAAGGGAGCCAGACACTATATAAGCTGTAACGCTACAATCTGAATAGTACAGCTCAATCCTGTGGCGCAACCACACAGGTACCAAGCACCCTGGTGGACGTAAAGACGAGGATCGGCAAAGCAAGGGCCTCATTCCTTCAATTAAAGAACATATGGAACTCAAAACAACTTTTCAACCAATATCACAGTCACAATCTTTAATACGAACGTCAAGGCAGTTCTACTGTATGGAGCTGAAACGTGGAGAACTACAACAACCACCATCAAGAAGGTACAAGTGTTTATCAATAGCTGTCTACGCAAGATACTCAACATCCATTGGCCGGATACCATCAGCAACAACCTTCTGTGGGAGAGAATAAATCAGCTTCCAATAGAAGAAGAAATTAGGAAAATACGATGGAAATGGATAGGATATAGATTGAGGAAATCATCAAACTACATCACGAGGCAAGCCCTAACTTGGAATCTTGAAGGGAAGCGGAAAAGAGGAAGGCCAAAGAACACATTACGTCGGTAAATAGAAGCGGATATGAAAGGGATGAATAAGAGCTGTAAAGGATTGCCCAGGATAGGGTTGGATGGAGAATGCTGGTGAGCAGCCTATGCTCCTTCACGAGGAGTAACAGGCGTAAGTAAGTAAATAATAGACTCAGTTCATTGTTCTTAATACCATGGGTAGTACCATCGGTTCTCTTATTTTAAATGTGGCTCGTAACCAAATACCTGTTGTATAAATTTCAGTGTAGATTTTGTTAAAACAGTCCCCTCTCTTTCTAAATCAATTAACAGGAAAATAGTAGAATCTAATCTTTATTCATCCTTGATGTTTACTTAAAGTCTAATCAGGAGTTTTCGTTTGTCTTCCCATAGAAACATTATATAATACTTTGTAAGTTTTACTAATTTCTCTTATCTTACCTATTGAATGTTCTTAGTCAATCAGTTTTGTTGTCTACAGAAGGGACTAAATATACATACTCATGTGCTTCTATTTAAGCCATTACTTATAGATAGATAGATATTCATATCTTACATCTCTAACTTACCTTAGTTAGGTAGGTAGCCATTTAAAACCAAAAAGCACTAGATATCTGTTTAGTTCCACTAATGGATTCGTCAGCAATACGCGTCTTTAATCTCATCGGTACAGAACCTGGGACCGTTCGATGGTCTAAAGGTTAGGCACTCGCTGCTGGGTTCGATCCCTCGTTTGGTCGTGAATGGGCGTTCCTAGGAAAAAGCAGCTATCCAGTGCTTCCTAGTTTTCACTGTCGCCCTCGTAACAGAATTCATCTACAAATCATGATGACATTTAGTAAAATTGTAATATTCATGTTTGTTTGTATTTTAAAACGCGACCTATCACTTACACCTTGTGCTAACTGTTTTCATGGTTAATTTTCCTAATTCTTCCTTTTTCACACGCACATACTGTTGTTTTTTCTTCTTCCCAACGAATTGTTTTACTTAACTTATTAAGTACAAGTAAACGTCTTTCTCTAGATGATTTCTGTTTCTCTTTTTAAAAACCTGAATAACGTTTCTGGCCTAGAATTTCACCAGTATTTCTCACCTGTTAAGTTCTGTTTCATGCATGTCATTAAATAGTTTTCTATACAGAACAATCGGTTCCAAAAATCTCTTGGTGTTTAACACAATGCTCCTATTGGTGTGACAAGTTAAAATGAATTATTTAATCTTTCTTCTCAGGGTTAAAACTTCTTGTATGGATTTTTTAGTGTTTATGTTGACTTTTCCTATGGTTCACGTTTATTAATAGTAGTGACACCCCAAACGTTTTGTGTGCTTTTGTGAAATGCTATGTTCGCTCACTTAAATTGAATATGTTTATTCCCGTTAGAAATAGTGTACTGTTATAATTGACAACAATAGCAAAATATCTGCTTAAGCAATAAATATTCCCAATCCAAGTTAAGTCACAAGTATGTACTTACAAGGTATATCATTTCAAGTGTTTGAACTATGAACTAACTTTAACCATTCAGCTATTGGAAAACGACGAACTCTGAAAAGAGCAGCTGTGTTTCGTCCTAGTTCAGGACCCGTTCTCATCATTTTTTAACATCAAAATGTTACAGTTTGATTTATTATGAAAATTATATTTGAAATAATCTCAGCGATTGAAATTTAAATAATTCCAACGTTTCGTCCAGCTAACTTGTCTTGAATTCTTCAGGGTAATACCCTGAGATTATTTCAAATATAATTTTCACATATAATGACTTCTCTATACTCGGCGCCCAATTTCTGTCAAACTATTCGTTATAATCTTGACGAATATTCGTACCTCCCTATATCCTGAAATCTTCTGTATGAATGAAGAAAAGTTACATTAAGCATTCCCTTTAACAGTTAATATTATATTATTCCTAAATTTACTTATTTTTTTTGTAATTAGAATAATGATTATTAATGAATGAAGATATACTAACTTTCGTATTCATGTACAATATCGCTGGGAAAAAGGTTTTTTAGACTATTGAATTTTATAACTATCTAATTGTTGTCTGATATCTACAAGACTTTCAAAGTGTATATCATAATGCGAACAACAGCAAGAATAACATAGTTTGCAGAATACAATCAACTCATTGTATCTCGTTGCTTTAACTCCAGCTATATACATGCTCATAAGTTTCATTATTTGTAACTATCAGCATAATATTCAATTTCACGTGGATGAATTGTTATTAACAACTAATTTGTTTCGAACGTATTAGATGTCTCTGGCAGGTTTTTTTTAAATAATTGTCTAAGGTGATTATTCTAAAATATTTAAGATAATATTATTGCTTAATCTAACAAAAGTTTGGAAAGTTTAGAAATAAAATGAGAGTTTGTGAGTTCAGTTCTCTAGATTTTGATCATAAGTAACTAAAGAAAAATGGGTTAGAATGTTTAATTTGCTTTTGTTAACAAGGCTTACTTTTGTCACTCCTCGTGGACAACCATATGCTACCCATCAAGATTCTTCATCCAATTCTCTCCTGGGCAATCCTTTTAATGTCTGCATCGAATTCTCGGCGTAGTGGCTCCTTGGTCTTCCGCTTTAACATTTTCCTTCAAGATTTCAAGTTAGCGCTTGCCTCGTGATGCGTTTTGATGATTTCCTCAATCTGTATCCTGTCCACTTCCAACATTTTTTCTTAACTTCTTCATCTAGAAGTTGGTTTGTTCTCTCCCACAGTTGATCGTTGCTGATGATATCCGGTCAACGGACATAGAGTATCTTGTGTAGACAATTGTTTATAAATACTCATACTTTTTTTATGATGATCATAGTAGTTCTCTAAGTTTCAGGTCCGTGCTGTCGAACTGTCTTGATGTTTGTATTACAGATTCTGACTTTAGTGTTGGCTGACAGTTGTTTTGAGTTCCATATTTTCTCCAATAGTAGGGATGCTGGCTTTGCTTCGCCGTCAGATCCTCCTTGCATGAACTGATCCCACTTCTTGGTTTGGGCACTAAAAATTTACATCCCTCACATCTAAGCTTTATATTCATTTTTCACTAAATTATCTGTTGTAATATCATTGGCTGATTATCATTGAAGTGTTGTTATATGTAAGACTGAATGGAGTTGTTGATTAATATTTTTAAAGGATTCAACTTTTAGTCTTATTAAGATAGCAGATTTGAATCCTGTTTTTGTCTAACAATCCTCACGTAAATAGAAACGTAGTTTGACTTAAAGGCATATATAGATCTGCGTTAATTTACTTCATTGAGAATAAAACGCTATTTAAATTAATGAACCTATTCCATAACTGTTGGAAGCCATCGATAATTCCTTGTTAAAGTTCCCAGAAGTCAATAAAATCCTGGAAATACTTCAGTCAGTTGACATTCATTAGGAACTCTCAAGAGAATCCTAAACAGTGATAAATTATGTTTTCTTTATCCTGATTGGATAATTGCCTATGTTGTGTGCAACTTTAACATGTTTTTCAGAAGCTAAAATACCATCGTCACCTCTTATAATTATCTCCATTTTTTCATACATGGATTAACCTTCAAAGTAGTTTTTGTATACTTTACGCCTTTTGTTTTCTGTTTATGGCTCTTGTGTAATGAATTTCTAAGGTCTATGAAGTGACTAAGAAATTAGTCGGTATCTAAGCGTTTACTTGTTAGTGATATACCTGTAACTTACTTTACATAAAATACTACTCAAGAAAAGTTTTCTTTGATTTCCTTTATTATTATATATTACCTTAGAATAGCGCTACTGCAAGTCAATCGTCTGATTCACTTTTACTGACAAAATCAACTGATTACTTTCCTGAATTGTTAATATACTTTTTTGTCGATTGTCTTCGATTGGTTGATTATGTTCGCTTAGAATTGAAGGGGGAAATTTTCACTCGTCTCAACCAACGCCTAGTAACACAAACAATGAACAACGATAGTAATGATGACACTGTGAACTATGAAGCTATATTAAGTGAGTGCTTGGAGCAGTCATGTGAACGCTTAATTGCATCTATCAATTCAATAATGGATCTTATCATTCAAAAAATTCAAGTAAGATGCAAGATACTATGTATCAACATCAAGTCCTGTTATTTTTATAAACATGAACTGAAGTTTAATAATATACATATATTTCATTGTACTGATTTATGTATATATTATAAACAGCGTATGAAGTCCTACATATTTACACACGAATCAGTAAATCAGCCAACTGAATAAAATATAGTAATAATCGATAATAGTAGATTTCGTGCATTTTAACTTCATAGCCAAATGTAATAATAACAATTTATTTACTGTCAGATTTTTATGTTACTATGTATGTACCGACTGACGTATAACTCGTTATCTAATAAATCCCTAAGATCGATCAATTTGTTAGGAATCATGTGAATGACGTAAGGTGTCAAGATATTATACGTTAGACAACAATAGAGTCTTCTTAACACTTTGGATAAGAATCTAAGAGTACTTAGGACGGATTTCATACCTGTCGGATATAAAGCCAAGTCAATCTACACTGATGCATACTGTAATTATAAGAAGAGAAATAGTTGGGTTCACTGAATTAAGTTATATGGGTTTTTTGGTAGCGGTATATTGATTGGATCAAAGCATGTTATTTCTCAACCAATCAGCACTAGCGGATACTTGTAAAAGACCCTAGAATCTTCTTGTGTAAAAAATATAAATATACTGACGTTTTTCTTGTGTTTCCTACTTCCATCCAACTTTATTATTTGGAATACAATAACATTCCTGTTCAGCTGCGTTCTTGCCCCCAAATGCCCTGGAACGGCCGAGAGGGGAGAATCGGCTGTTCCTCTCGAAACGATCTCACATGACCTCGCGTATACAGCCAATGTCAGAGAAGTCTTACTCAATACCTTCTCGCAGTGGGAGTGTTGTTTACGAAATTGAGAGGATGAAAAGCGAATGTCCGGTACCTTACCTGAGTTGGTGGTGGATACGGAGGATGCACCTAGGGGAGTTGGAAAACCTTGATTCCAAACCAATGCTGCACATGTGCTCCAGAATCGTGACGGAACAAATGACATGAACCTATTGTTGGTCACCGGCTACCATGGAGCTGCATCTCGTAACTTTACTCCACTGTCTTGTGGATTACACCTTTATGTTGAAGGCTCCGGGTGTTTTCCCCTAAGAAAACCACCTACTTCGGTTTGAGTGCCAAGGCAGCATCCCAGCCCTCACTGTGTCAGGGCTTTTTTATATTGTTTGAACCGTCGCCTTAACTAATTAACATCAAAATAGTTATCTTGTTCAAAATTTCTTCACCTCTTCATAATTAGAACTCAGGAAAATATTCAGTTGATTGACAGTTTCAGAAAAAGTCACACATTACTTTGTATTCTAAACGTCTCTTATCAATACTGTGTACATAAAACTGAGTAGACTTAAGTGGCATACATAACCGAATAGTGTTCCCTCTCTTTCTTCTTACACTGTAATAAATGTCAATAAAACACTGGCTCTTTATTACATGTTCCTAATCTATATACTTACTTATTTCCACATGCATACGTACATACTCTATCTACTTCATAACAATCGATATAACATTTTGTTTGTTTATTTTCTAATTATCGTATTCATTTTCAGCAAAATTGTTCAAATAGTATTCGTCAAGTACTAGACATACCGCGTCAATATCGTTGGACTAATCGAGAGTTTCCTTCTAATGCATCTTCATATGTATCAAATATTATGCATCCTTTAATGAAACTCGATAGTTTAGGATTACGTTTATCTCAATCAGTCCCTAACGCTCAACCATTTTTATCTACTTTAATAAAGAAATGCATCACAACCGTTACTCATGAGTAAGTTCTTTTTTTGTTTTGTATGTTGTGTTTTATTGTTGACAGCTGAGGAAATCATTTTGAAGTTGGTTATTCATTAAAGAACTGAGGCCATTTTTGTGAAGAAATCATATATATATATATATATATATATATATATATATATATATATATATATATATATATATATATATATATATATATATATATATATATCTTTAGAGATGAATTCGAAGACATGATTATCATTTTAGAGCAGTATATCAACTGAGGGTTTATGTATTATGGTTTCGGTGGCCCTGAATCTGACTTCAATTGGATCGTATGATTATCGTTATCGAATGATTTCTGTCGAGATATACATCCTGGCTACCCTCGTATATAATCATCGACTTAATTCGTATTAGTGAATACTTACTAACTTACGCCTGTTGCTCCTCGTGAAGGAGCATAGGCCGCTCACCAGCATTCTCCATCCAACCCTATCCTGGGCAATCCTTTCAAGCTCTTTCCAGTTCTTATTCATCTTTTTCATATCTGCTTCTATTTCCCGACGTAATGTGTTCTTTGGCCTTCCTCTTTTCCGCTTCCCTTCAGGATTCCAAGTTAGGGCTTGCCTCGTGATGTAGTTTGATGATTTCCTCAATCTATATCCTATCCATTTCCATCGTATTTTCCTAATTTCTTCTTCTATTGGAAGCTGATTTATTCTCTCTCACAGAAGGTTGTTGCTGATGGTATCCGGCCAATGGATGTTGAGTATCTTGCGTAGACAGCTATTGATAAACACTTGTACCTTCTTGATGGTGGTTGTTGTAGTTCTCCACGTTTCAGCTCCATACAGTAGAACTGCCTTGACGTTCGTATTAAAGATTCTGACTTTGATATTGGTTGAAAGTTGTTTTGAGTTCCATATGTTCTTCAGTTGAAGGAATGCCACTCTAGCTTTGCCAATCCTCGCCTTGACGTCTGCATCTGAACCTCCTTGTTTATCGACGATGCTTCCCAGGTATGTGAAGGATTCCACATCTTCCAGAGTTTCGCCATCAAGAGTGATTGGATTGCTGTTCTCCGTGTTGTGTTTGAGGACTTTGGTTTTCCCTTTGTGTATGTTGAGGCCTACTGATGCAGAGACTGCTGCTATGCTGGCTGTCTTTATCTGCATTTGTTCGTGTGTATGTGATAGGAGGGCTAGGTCATCTGCAAAGTCCAAGTCGTCTAATTGGTTCTGAGCTGTCCTTCGTATGCCGTAGTTTCCCTCAGATGTCGAGGTCTTCATAATCCAGTCGACCACCAGAACAAAGAGGAAGGGAGAGAGTAGGCGGCCTTGTCTTACTCCGGTCCTTACTTGGAATGCGTCTGTCAGCTGTCCTCCATGCATTACTTTGCACTGTAGTCCATCGTATGAGTTCCGGATAATGTTGACAATCTTCTCAGGAACTCCGTAGTGTCGAAGAAGTTTCCATAACGTCCTCCTATCTACACTGTCAAATGCCTTCTCATAATCAATGAAGTTGATGTAGAGTGACGAGTTCCACTCAATTGATTGTTCGACGATGATCCGTAGTGTCGCAATCTGGTCTGTGCACGACCGGTCCTTACGGAATCCAGCTTGTTGATCTCGAAGTTGAGCGTCAACTGCGTCTTTCATCCTGTTCAGTAACACTCTGTTGAAGACTTTACCCGGTATTGACAGTAGTGTAATGCCTCTGTAGTTTTCACACTTGCTCAGATCTCCTTTCTTTGGAATCTTGATGAGGTGTCCTTCTTTCCAATCCATCGGCACTTGTTCCTCCTCCCAAATCTTCTTGAATAGAAGATGAAGCATGCTTGTAGTTACTTCGATGTCTGACTTCAACGCTTCAGCTGGTATATTGTCAGGTCCTGCTGCTTTCCCGCTCTTGATTTGTCTGACAGCCATTCTTATTTCTTCTGTCGTTGGTGGATTGACATTTATAGGAAGATCTGTGTGTGCTGCTTCGATGTCCGGTGGATTGATTGGAGCCGGCCTGTTCAGGAGTTCCTCGAAGTACTCTGCCCATCTGTTGCGCTGTTGTTGAATCTCAGTGATTGGTCTTCCTTCTTTGTCTTTGACTGGTCTCTCTGGTTTACTGTATTTCCCTGCAAGCTTCTTCGTCGTATCGTAAAGCTGTCTCATTTCCTTCTCTTGCAGCTTTTTCCGCCGTCGTTGCTAGTTCTTCCACGTATTTTTGCTTATCGGCTCTAATGCTCTTCTTCACTTTCTTGTTTGCTTCTATGTACTCTGCTTGTGCTTGGACTTTCTCTGCCCTTGTTCGACTGTTGTTAATTGCTGTCTTCTTGTTCTTTCTTTCTTTGATCCTGTCCAGTGTTTCTGTAGAGATCCATTCCTTGTGATGATGTTTCTTGGGGCCCAGAACCTTTTGACACGTTGAAGTTAATGTTTCTTTGATACCTTTCCAGCTATCCTCCATAGTAGTTTCTTCTTCCTTCAGTAGATCCTGTAAGGCTTGGAACCTGTTGTTGAGAGCTACCTTGAATTCATTGAGTTTGTCAGTATCTCGAAGGAAGGCTGTATTGAACCTTTGTGGTGCTGTTTGTCCAGTTGTCCAGTTCTTCTTTAGCTTCAGTTTCAATTTGGCCACAACCAGGTGATGATCTGAAGCTATGTCCGCTCCTCTCCTGGTTTTCACATCTTCCATTGTCCTTCGGAACTTTTTATTGATGCAAATGTGATCTATCTGGTTCTCTGTGGTGTGGTCCGGTGAGATCCACGTAGCTTTGTGTATACGTTTGTGTGGAAATGTTGTACCGCCTATGACCAATTTATTGAATGCACACAGATTTGCAAATCTTTCCCCGTTTTCGTTTCTCTCTCCCAGTCCATGCAGTCCCATGATGTCTTCATATCCGGTGTTGTCCATTCCGACTTTGGCGTTTAGATCTCCCATCAGAATGGTGAGGTCCTTTCTTGGGCACTTCTCTATGATTGATTGCAGCCTCTCATAGAATTGATCTTTAACGTCGTCGTTGCTATCATTGGTGGGTGCATAACATTGAATAATGTTCATTGTGATCCCCTCCTTCTTTGTTTTGAATGATGCTTTGATGATTCTGGATCCGTGAGATTCCCATCCTACAAGTGCATTTCGTGCTACTTTGGATAGCATTAGAGCAACTCCCTGAGTGTGTGGAGCATTTTCCTCTTCGTGACCGGAGTATAGCAGCATCTCTCCCGTATTTAGCCTTTGTTGTCCAGCTTGGGTCCAATGGGTTTCACTGATTCCCAGTACTGCCAAGTTGTATCTCCTCATTTCCGTTGCTATTTGACTGGTCTTCCCGTTCTCCCACATTGTCCGGACGTTCCATGTACCTATAAAAATTGTTGCTCTGGTTGTTAGAAGGGGCATCGGCCTCGTGGCTTCCGAAGGAACTCGGCTTTCACCATGAAGCGTCATATTACCTCTAACTCCCAGGGCAGAGTTTAAATGGTTTGAGTTATTTTTTCTGGTTAGCGTTTTTTTAGCGAGTTAGGTTTCTACGGGATGGGGACGCTAACCCCATGCCCAACCCTCCTCCTTTACCCGGGCTTGGGACCGGCAGTAACTCTGGAAGAGCTACAGGCGGAGTTGTATTAGTGAATAATTAAATTAAATAAGTCATATATGAGAATGGATTTCGAATACCTGTTTCATATAATCATTGATTCAGACAGACGATCAATGAAACGAAATGATGCGCTGTGGAGAAGGCGTATGAGTTAACTCGATTTAACCAAGCATGAATCGATATTTATAGTCAGACAAGAATAAGTTACAAACATGTGATGAATAAGATGAGAAATGCACATACATACTCTCACATAAAAACAGTCAAGATTGATAAGCTAATAATTAACAAGGTTAAAATGTGACTCAAGACGAATGAGTAAATTAGCCTGTCTAAAGGCTAGAATACCATATGTAGGCCTAACATGGTACCAGCCCCTACAAGGTGTCTATTAGTGATATGATACGTATGATGAGAATAAAAGATCTATTCACGAAATATCACCCATGTGTTTCAACCAATTGGTCTGAAGTTCGAGTTCTATTCCGCCTACATCATTTCAGACAGCATGGTACTATCACTAGTCTTTAAACGAAACAGTATGACCTAAAACCACCGCGCACATAAACATTTACTTGGTTTAAATGAGTTGCCTCAATCACATCAAGTATCCTCTCAACACTTGCCAAGTAAAGAAAAATACTGCTAAGTAAGTAGAGTAGTATATGCTAAACTATTGTCATGTTATCATTCATGAAAAAATTTATCTATCTGCTTGTATTCAGAAACTTTTTCTTGAGTTGATCCCCAACCCCACTCCAAACCCTGTAAAAAATTTAACGATATGATGGTTGATAAATAGTGGTTGATTGAGTAGGTTTGTTGTGAATGAAAATTCAGGTGAGGATAACCAATTATGTTGCTTAATGCAAAATTACACAGTAGGTTAGTGAAATATCAAAATCATAAATTAAATACACCATTTTCAGATCTTCCTTGCGTTGTCTTTTATATAATTCATTATTCTTCTAATTCTGTGTATTGTGTGAAATGAATTCGCGATTCGGATTGATAGTATAAAACAGTTTGAACTTGTTAGACAGAGATTATTGAAGAGGTAGCACGTTTAAAACTGACAACTGAATGATCATTCCAATTGTTTTCTACTATTTCATAGTTTTAGTTTTGAACACCACCTTTTATTTTTGAGAACTATACTTTTTTCTGCTAACTGGCAGAATGGAATTTTTCTTGATTATCACACTTTTTTCCATTCACAATAATATTATATGTAAGTTAATCATTTAGTTCAAATCTTGTATTCTGAAAGCGTAATTATTCTGTATACATTTTTTTCAAGTGTTAAGTAGTTAGAGGTAGTCGATAGAATACCTTGGACCTAGGTTTCGTGCTTGTTGGTACTCGTCAACAAGGCGTACGTTCAATCCTAAGGGACCTGATGCGCGCCATCAAATTTCACAGTTTGAGATGTTATCACTGAGCTATTCAGGCTGCGACTGACATTCTTTAGGAGTGAGATATTTACACTGATCGACCACTAAGTAGCAGGCAATATAATATTTGTCTAGTCCTATGTGCTGATCGAATTCTATCGACCAAGTTGCGATGTGCTTGTATGTTCAGGGTTTCCTCTCGACAACCTCCAACTAAATAATGTATTAATAATATATAGTACATGCAGTCAGTTATACGCAACATAGAATCTGGTACATATATACATCTGTTCAAGGTGTTATTTGATGTCGAGTCATTTAGACAAGCGGCCATGTTGAAACTTGATCGATAGAATTCAACTGGCACTAAAAGACCAGACGAAAATAATATTGACCACTGCACTCATCAATCAATTGTATACACTTTTTCTGCAAATTTCTATACAGTTGGTAATAACTAATGAATTTTTCATGTATCATTTTTCTTACATTATCAAATAAAGCTATACAGCTCAACTATCAGAAGTGTCTACATCAGTACGAAAAATGGAAGATAGTATACGGCGATTACGTGAAGTTAGACGTAGTAGTTCACAAATTTCCAATCAACCTCAATCTGTCAATGGTAGTAGTGGATTTCACTCAGATGATAAAATTCGTCATCAATTGTACTTGGATGCTAAAGCATATATTGATGAAGTTAGTAGTGTAACAGTACTGCGAGATTTTCTTTTCGCCATATTTTCAACTTATTTCTTATTCATTATTTTGTGTTGGTTAGAGATAAGATACTTGTCCGTGAGTTTGTAGCCTATCCATTTCTCAGTGTTCAATATGTGTGCGGTATTAAGCATTGTCGGGTATTTTTCTGTTTATTTAATGAATTATGACTGCGTATAAGGGCATAATCTCCACTAAGAATTTCATTCTAACTTTTAGCTCACATTTTATTTTTTTAATCCGGGAGGTTGAGATGTACTATTTGGGCCCTATACACAACCACCATTCTCCATTGTTCCATTCAAGCAGTGGGGTTAGACGAGGTTGCTCAACCTCACCATTCCTCTTCGACTTTGCCACCAATGAAATTCTGGAAACAGCTCTGGTGGATGTAAGTAATGACTGAAATGAAATTCCCACTGAATATCATCCCCTTATATGCAACACTCACCTACCAAATGAACGAAAAAATTCTAGATATTGTACTTTTACTGAACATTGAAAAAGGGACTATTAATCCGCGGACGAATACTTATAACCAACCTTTCTAATGCTAACTAATATAAAGATTGGTATAAGTGTATGAACTGTTAATCAAATCGAACTTTGGATAACATAGTTCACAATATGTCTGTGGCTTAGACGCCAATCCATTCCCACACATCATTATCTTGTATCTGTATAAATCCTAAACGCTGTACTAATGGATACTTTTTTACCCCTTATTTCCATCTTTTTTCTTTCGCTATTTTATAATCACCTCTTTACTAATGTCGTCGACGATGTAATCAAGTTATCCTATCTTATCATTTTCTACCTATCCATCTGATCTTCCTATGCTGGACCACTGATCCACAAATAATTCAGCCTTCTAACCCTTTTCTACTGTTAATTATTTATATGGTATTATTTGATACTCATTTTCGAAAGAAATATCAGTCTTATGCAAACGAAGGGATGGAATGGCAAAAGACCGAAAGCTGAACGTCATCTATAAAATAAACTGGTCCAACTACGAAAAATACTACATTGGAAAAAGTGTCACCTTCTTCGTCTGCATAAACGCCACTTGATAGCTGTCAAACCCCATCGCATATCTTCACTTATATCAATGCACGTAAAGAATTGCGAATACACACTCGACTGGGAATATTTTGAGATGTTATACAAAGGAAGTACGAAGAAGACTAGAGGATTTCTAGAAGTTTGGTACTCAAGTCAATCAGTAATCTACATGCACATCGGTATTGACCCAATTTGCCAAGCGGTTAAAAAAATTAATGGATAAGTCTAAAGTTAAAACTCAAGTGAATGGTGGAGGCTGTCAGGAAGAATATGCAGGTAACGACAGGTTAATTATCAACAATAACCAATTAAGATTGGGGTCAACGGAATAAGCTGTCAGTCATATGCGAGAAATTTGAATAATCTACTTTTATGTGAAGTTTTTGTTGATAATGTTGTCCATTAAGACAATGAATGCTTCATGATTGAACTATCGAATTCTCAGAGAATGGAAACTCATCAAAGTCATCCCCTAAGCTACAAATTTCCCCCATCAACTTAAGGACCTTTTTATTTGATCAGTGGTTTAATTGATAGGATGCAACAATTAATCCGTTTGAGTTTGTTAATTTCAATGTTGCTTAATATTATTTAGTTCTGTTTAAAACTAAAAGGAAAGTTTTACATACTTTTATTTTTTAAAAGGACATTGATTAGTGAAGATTATTAGAGAACCTGAATAATATATAGGAAGGCAATATTGAGTCAAGATATTACAATAAAATATTTTATCAAGGGTAGATTCTATCGACTAGGATAGTAGCAAAAAAGGTGAGTGGTATTTGAAAGAAGTAATGTATACACTAGTTAGTGTATAATTGGGAGTCGAAAGTTTTTAGTGTTAGTTAAGCTCAGTTAGTTAAATTGAAACTATATAATGAAATGGGAAACAGTTTAAAAAAGACAAGGTTACTAACTAATCTCTTTTTTTAAAAGATTCTTTGAATATACATGTATGATTCTCGGTTGGGTTGGATTTGTCAAATGTATTTTTTTTAGTTTTTCTCAATCTACAATCTCTATGGATCGTTTAGAATTGACGTTATCTCGATAAATATAAAATCAGCTGTATTCACCTGTATATACGCGCTTGATTTGTGCTTCTTGTTGTTGCTCGTGCTCTGGCTGCTTGTGGAATATATTTCCCTTTTCCGAACTTGGATATCTCTCTCTAGTTAGCGGGGCTGGAACGCGTCGGAATAGCTAGCTTATCTGTCATTGTGTCACAGTCTTCGTTCCGTTCTCAGATTTGGTAAACTCGTTATCTCTTCAAACATAGCACCCGTCATCTGCTTGGTTGTGGATACAATGTTGATAGCTCAAAGATCCTTCATAGGATTCAATAATCCAATAACTTTGAATTTATTGCGTTCTATTGCATCCATGGTTGTCGAAAAACTTAAATCAGGTGAATACAGTAGAAGCTAGAGTGAAGGAATCACCAGTTATCCACACTGGTTCATCCGACTAACCTAATAATTTACTGTTAGTCTATTTCGTTTGAATGGAACCAAGCTCGTAGAAGGCAACAACTATAATCCGCCAATACTTAGGCGGCACTTTTCGGAAATCAGTTTAACACTTTTTAATATTCAATCACTAACGCCCTCCAACGAATTTCTCGCTTGTGTGGGACGGGCATTAAACTTTAAGAACTCATTGAGTACCTTAAACACAATCGGAACCCCATATGACCTTTGGACTATGAAAAATTTCCATATTGCGTGTGCCTGACCACCGATTACCACGACGCGCAATGCTAACAGGTATTGGGGATGGTCGGAAGAAAGCCAGGGGCGATCAAACCAAGACATGGCATCCGTGCTTGAAGTCATTAACTTCTGGTCTGAGCCATGTTGGTAGATACAGACTACTTGGTTGGCGTCCGCGCGACTATCGTAACGAATGGTTGGAGACTGTGTGTGACATGGCTCAGAATCGATCACAATGTCGTAGGTGTATACATTCTATATCTTCCCTTAAACCGTGATATTAAAATTACTTCATACCTTTCTTTCTATGAACTAATTCTTTCTTCCTTTACTACACCCTGATATGCAATCTTCTATATATTACCACCATTGAATTAACTACTATTCCGGTGTTCGTTTCGCTGTGCTAATGCGGTATGGCAACTTGGATAGATGCATATATGTGCCTGGTCCTACGTTGTAGCTGACTGACTTCTTTTTCAAAACGTGCAATAACGCCTCGTGATGTACTATTAGTCTACAGTATTTAATCAATGGATTTGTTTTTATGAATTAACTACTTTATTGAATTAGGTTAGTTCAAAAGAGCACTACTTGCTTATAATTTTTGCATTCCTATTATAATTGTTTATCTAACAGCTACATGTCTTATCTTATTCGGACTTGTGTTGCTTCTTTTCGTTTCCAAGGTAAAGAACTTCCGGAGTTTAGATCATGAGTATACATGTGAGTTGGACGATTTTATGGAACAAATAGACACAACTCGAACGGAACCAAGTGTCTCCATTATGAATATTATCCCAGCAGTTAGCCAAGAGTGATTAACAAAATTAAATTGTGATAACTTTTATGTACATTATATAATATGAGTATATGTTACTTGACGACATTTCTATGCTTTGTCAATCAAATAAACTTTATCTACATTGGTCTCCTCGTTTTGTGCTTGAGTAAACCTTTCATTTGTAGATACTAACCTTAAGATCTTTTCTTTCGATTTATCAGGCAGTTGACCAATGTAGTCAACACCGTCAATGTATAATTTCGGTAAGTGATCTTCCAGTAGAAGGCAAACTAATTCCTTGTCTTCAATCTGTGGGTTTCCACTCACTATTAGGCGGCGTAAAGTTCTGGAAGAAAGATATAGACAAACAGTTTGTTAACGAGAAAACTTAATCAAAATTATTATTGTAAACAATAACTTCTAGTCCTTTTTAAGCAAATTACCAAAATTTCACTGGACCACTTACTTTAACTGTGCCAATGTCGCTAGGCCTTTTGAAGTAATAGTAGGGCATTCACTGACATCCAGAAATTGTAATCCTTTGATACGTCCAATTCTCGACAAGCAAAAATCATCAAGACGTACACATCTTTTCATTTTTAAGTACCTTAGATGGGTTAAACAGGCTATAAAACAAATAAGTTATATTTTGTATATATTAATGCACCAAATTAAAATCAATACATGTTTATGAAACGCTTCTTCGTTAATCTGGGCCGATAAAACCGATTTTTAAGCATACAAACGAGAATCTATGTGAGCACTAGTCAAAATTTGAACGAACAGCTTAAAAACCTACAACCTAGAGTTTCCAACCATAGATTATAACTATTTCGAAGATTTGAGAAAAGAAGTTTGCAGAACACCGAAATTAGTTTGGATTAACTGCTTGTCTTGATCAAGCCAAACTTAGCCATTTTGCTATTTACCCCTGTGGTAATATGGGTACTGTTTGGGCGTAGATCGTTTCTGAAATTACACAAAATTTTCAGTTGCTTTGGCCATAGTACGTAGAACTCAGTAGGACGAAACTTCATCAGCGCAACTTAAGCTTTCAGAATAAGTGGGATGGTTAACACAACTACTTTCATCTCTATTGATAATTAGACTAAGCAATGACACGTCAGTCAGTATACAACATTTTATGTCCATGTGGTGCGGAAGTCGCCTGAAAAACGAGCTTGTTTTTATGTACTGAGAACCATCACATGGGTATTCCATCTTCATCAGAAATATGTAGGTGAAAGACCAATCCCTGAGAAGTGAAACGGTGTCAAACACTGTTACAACGCATCTCGATCGGTAGACTTCCTTCAAACTACGGAGGACGACTACACTAAAAGTTCCAACTAAGGTATCCACAGGAGTCTAGGAGCAGCTTGGTTTCCTGGGACTCCAACTCAAACTGACTCATAACGTGACACCTGGCACTAAAATGCATCAACCTTATTGGACAGCAGTTCATCAAAAGATAAATAGCAAGGGTCAAAATGACAGTAATACCGATCATAATAAAGCTAAACATAGAGAATATGGACTGAGAAGGAATAGAATAAGAGAATAAAAGGTACAAAATAATAGTGAGATTAAAGATTTGGTAGATACATAGAGAAGAGTAGTCGAACAATGCAATCAAGGCTTATGGAATGTGTGCATTGATGGCTTTAAAATCAGTTCATGTCAAATGCTCCGATAAACGTGAGAAGTAGAAAATCATGTCCATCGCTAGCAAAGCACATAACTGGAACGGGGCATAGAACTGACATAAATACGGATTTTAGAAAGCTGTATTGTAATTGTCAAGGACGAATCCTTAGGTTTATAGAAGCCTTAAGCCTTGGCTATTCGTAAATTCAACTCCATCTTACGTGTATCGAAACAGTTTGTCGTAGCCTTGAATTTGCCCTGGGAATCCTTAAGTCATTTTACGGCTTAGGATAGTATGCAAATTCCCTATTCTCTTCATACGACGTTGATTTTCACTTCATCTTACTTACAACTATCCCTTTGTTTACTCGGACCTTCATTTAACTGACCTTTATTAATTTTCGCAGAATGCCTTGACAAATATATGCATGCCCGAATTGTTCGAAATGTATAGCGCGAATACATCATACTTTCCAGATACTCTATCCCTTGGACTATAACCAAAGGGGTCGAAAAACTCTCCACCATGGTTCAGTAGGTAGGTCCGCATCCTTCTCCGTAAAAGAAAAATATGGGATAGATTTAGGTTACTGGGGACTGATGAGACAAAATCTCAGTATCGAAAAGCTCGGAATACCTGTGCCTTGACCCTCCGTAAGTCTAGAAAGTTGTACGAAGAAAAAATTGAGTGCCCTAAACGCTTGTATTCCTACATAAACCAAAGGACAAAAAGAGGAATTATTGCTGCACTATGGGAAGACAGTGCTGCCACATCATTAGTGGAGAATGACTTTGGTAAGGCTCAAGTGTTCTCAAACTACTTTAGCAATGTATGTACCATAGAAGCACCCTTCCCGTTAGCGCATACAAACCCACACACACACACTGGATAGCGTGACCATTAAAGAACTCGATGTCTTTGGTCTGCTAAATAGGCTTGACATAGGTAAATCTACGGCGCCCGATGAATTGCACCCTAGGCTACTAAAGGAATTATCTAACTTCGTTGCGAACCCTTTAAGTATATGCTTTAAGCTATCTGTAACCCAAGGTCGTTTACCAAAAGACTGGAAGAACGCCATATTAAGTCTTGTCTTCAAAACAGGTACGAAACATAAACCTGAGAATTACCGACCTGTTAGCCTAACTAGTGTGGTTGTTAAAATCTTAGAAAAGATTATACGGAAGGAGCTATTTAGGTAACTCGATGAAAACCGGATTCTTTCCGAGAAGCAGCATGGTTTTAGAGTAGGTAGCTCGTGAAAGCTGGTGTGCCCTTAGGGACCAAAAGTTACCTGTAGACTACATTGGCTTCAGCAAAGCTTTTGACAAAGTTCCGCACAACCCGTTGTTATATAAGTTAAGAAATGTCGGAATTGGAGGCAATCTATTGATGTGGATAAAAGACTTTCTAGTTGTCCAGACACATAATGACTTAGGAGTCATCGTTAGCCAAGACTTAAAGACTACTGCACACTGCCGCACAATAGCTGCCAAAGGTTTTAGAACTTTATGGTCAATACGTAGGGTTTTTACTCATGTCGACGCTCAAACGTTTTTGACTTTGTATACAGTGTTCGTACGTCCTAAACTTGAGTACTGCATACAAGCGGCTAGCCCCTGCTTAAAAAAAGACAGTGAGCCTTTGGAAAACGTTCAGAGAACAGCAACTAAGCTGATTCCCGGAATAGCGAAGCTCCCTTATGATGCTCGACTGGCCAAGCTAAACCTATTCCCGTTGTCATGTCGCAGAACTAGAGGCGACTTGATTACAGTTTTCAAAGTGCTTAGTGATAAATTTGAACCTGATATGCCCTCATTATTCTTGCCTTCCAAAACAGAGAATTTTTACGAGGATACTCCAAAAAGTTCACAAACCCAGAACAAATTACTTGTCAGCTGACTATCGACTTTCCCATCGAATCATCAATGACTGGAATTCATTACCTCAGCACGTGATTGAGGCTCCATCCGTCGACTCTTTCAAAAGAAAGTTGGATCAACTGAGAGACCACCATTGCCAGGAATAACATATACTATCAAGCCTTCTGTCCTTTCCAAACTAAAACTGATCTTTGCATTATTTTGTTGAAATTTATGAAACAAGCCGATTATTTAAAATAAACGTAAAGATAATCAAATCCAAAGCATTTACTTACGTAAAAACTCTAGTCCTTCATATACAATATTGGTACCTGACAGGTCAATGCTTTCGATTACGAAACTATCAACGTATTTATTTGGTAGTATAGGAGGGACCCCAGCATATGGCTGAATCCAGTTAGTGTGACCGATGAGCTGAACGCGACCGCCCAGACGGCACACCATATGAGCTATAGCAATATCTAGTCCAAGTTTCTCAACGTCTTTGTCAGAGACTCTGTAAATAATAAACGGAGGCGTTACATTTGTTTTTTCCGGTTTCGTTCCTTGATTCGCGATAGCAACAATGTTCTGAGGCTATCCACTGTCAGAGTTTCTGTACTCCATGCCTTCTGAAGAAGTTCACGAAATTTATCAGCAGGACTCATCGCTTCTTTCACTAAACCAGTATATATTTTTACAGATTTCCCGTCACGTACAACATATTTATACTAAGTTAATGGCACCTAATGTTACAACTGACGTACCATAGGTTTAGAGTAGATTGACCGCGTGAATCCACCTTGCTCATCAGCCGGCTCACTGGAAGCATAACGGACCAGCAAATTGTGACGAGAGATAAGTGAGTTGGATAGACGACCAACTGTAACACGCAGAAACATACCGCAACCCCTCTGACAACGGAGTTTGACAAACAGTAAACCTACAGTCAAACCGGCCTCCTTTACTTTCAGGAGCGGCCTGGTTAAAGTTGAGCATTCCGTGTTTGAAGTACATGAGGTTAATTGTGTCTGTGTCGGCTTGTATGAGTTCGTACTTTTCGCATAATCAAGTAGTCTATTGACGTCTAGAATCCTAGAAAGCATCTTCGAAAGCTATTTGAAGTGTGTCCTCTCTTTTCTCTAGTGTAAACTTTGGACTTCTTATTGAGTAATTGTCGATTGAATATCTGTTATTCTGAATTAAATTAGGATAACGTAATATCAGCAAATGTAGTGACATCTAACTCTGATGGATGTTTACTTATTTCCACTGATACATAACATAATTCAGAGCCCTATTGTTGAACCATTCAGTTTAAGGGAGTTTTCGACTGATATTAATGAATAGTTTAGATAATTAGTTCCAAACTAACCTTTCTTGCGCTGCGATGATTTCCAGAATTCATTTAGTGAGTGAAGATAACTATAGTTTGATAGATATACTTCCCAAATGTCTTCTAAATTGCGTGGACGAGAAGTGAATGCCCAGCACTTTAACTAGGTTGGTGGTGGGTCCGGGGGAACCACCTAGAAGAGTTGAGAAACCCCGACTCCGAACCCATGTTGCACATGGGCTACAGGATCGTGAGGGAATAAATGGCATATGGACCTGTTGTTGGTCTCCGACTACCATGGGGTTGCATCTCGTAACGTTGCTCCATTGCCTTGTGGATTAGACCTTTGGGTTTTAGGTGTGACCTCCTAAGAAAAACACCTATTTGAGTTTAGGCACCACACACAAATCGAATGATGATTACCATCTGAAAAATTATTTTCACTTCTGTTCGCATTCAGACAAATTATATTTACAAACATTTGATAACTCGTTTTTGTTTCTTTTGTGTCACGTCACTTATCTACTCCCTGTTATCCTCAGTTTGTGTACTTTATTTTTCAACTTATACAGCAACTCGCCTATGGTGGTGATTCCGTCCTATCTAAATAATCTCAAGTCACTGATTGGTCGAAAGTTGAATGTTACGAGCTACTACGAATACTACACCAGTCATTCTGAAACCACGTACACCAATCAAACTGGACTCCTTCAATGTCCCCACACTAACTTCCGCAAGCTCTTTCAACTCATTGGAGTCACTAGCAGTAAAATATCTGGTGTCGCCTGTGATGACTGATTCACCTAATTAGGTGGAAGTTCGCAAGGAACTCTAGCTCCCAAAAAGTCAGAAATAACCGGGCCCAGGTGACTAACCACCGGCTCTTTTTAAAACTACTGGCAACCTTCTGGTTAAGGAGCTAGCTGAGTTGTTTACAAATGTTTGGCAGTTAGAGAGTGTTCTAACATCGTGGAATGGGTCTATAGCTGTTCCTATCATTAAAAAGGATTCACATCGTTCCTGTAAGAACTATCGTGGGATAAATCTACTTCTGATTGCGTCCAAACGATTGGCTTCCGTTTTAATTCGTAGGTTGTTCAAAACCCAAGAAAGATTGACTCGCGAGGAGCAGACTGGTTTTCGTTCTGGTCAAGGATATAATGACCACATCTTCATCCCCCGCCAAATTTCCGGACACCATCATACTTAACACCGGCCAGCAACCGTAGTGTTTCTTGACATCAGGGCTGCCTTCCATTCGGTGGACAGGACTGCTCTCTGGAATTATCTATTGGAGAACGGTGTGCCTGAGAAGTTTACTAACATCCTAAAAGCCCTATATACAAACATCTCAGGCAGAGTGAGGGAATATAACACATCTTTCTCCATTGTTCCATGGAGCTTCATCGTAGCTATAATCCTATAATCAGCTATGATTTTCTGAAACTCCATGAAATACTCGTAGACATTAGAAACCGGAAACTTGTCCTTGCCGATCATAACAGTAAAATTAGAGCAATTATATCTAATGAGACGTCCATACATTTATTAATCAAACCTCATTGCGAGAATGACAAATACATCAATTTACTTAATCAGTTCCCGGACTTATTACGATCGAGTTTCGAAAGTGACAAAACGACACATGCAATCGTACATCACATACAAACAGAGGGACCGCCAGTGTTCGCACGTTTAAGACGCCTTGACCCCTATAGTTTGGCTCTCACAAAGGACAAACTCAACAAAATGATAGAGTAGGGTATCATACGCCCCTTCGATAGCCCGTGGGCATCACCGCTTCACACGGTACCTAAGAAAAACTCTTCACATGTATCGGATGCACTATCAAGATTAAATATCAATACTTTCTCAATCCCTGGTATAAACTATCAAGACATAGCAAAACATCAAAAGCTCAACGCTGTTAACATCGACAGAGTAAAACCAGCGTTTTTACAGTACACTGAAAAATAGACAAGGTTAACATCGTCCAAATCCGCAGCAGAGCAAGCACCACACAAACTACCTGTAACAAGCAGTACTTCACATCGAATTTCAGTAGCAACAGAAACTACAACAAGATCAGGAAGAAGAGTGCACTGACCAGATAAGTATGTAGCAACCACCATATTTATCTATACCAAATCCTGAGATTGTTCTTATCACACAAAAATCTCTATTATAATAATATATTTCTGCATGAGCAGGTACACGCCATTTTTACAGGCACGATCTACGAATCGCAACATTTGTTGGCTCACAGCATGCTTCCCAACTTATTAAGTTTATAATTGTTATAAAGTAGACTCGTAGAGAGCTTGCTGTAAACTATGACCTTGGGGAGACGCGTACGTCAAGCTTGTTCCAGACGTCAGAAGTTCCATAGTTGTGCCCTCAAAGCTAGATTCTGAAGAAAAAAGAGAAACAGAAGAGCAGCAAGGCACTTGGATACGAACGTCAAACGTTGCTTAACATTTTGTAGTAAAACAAACAGAGGTATAATAAATTAGATTAAATTCACATTATCTCTTATTAGGGTGAAATGAAGTCAGAGGCTCCATATAAGAACAATGAGTTGTGATGTTTAACAAGTTGAAGTAAGCTCACGAGAAGGAAGGAAAGTCAAGGCTGGTATAAGGGAAGTTGTGTATTAGAAGGGAGTGTGTTTATAGAAGGTGAAGTGTTAGGAATACTAATGACTATACCTTTTATTGTCTAATTTTTTTTATCCAACCGATGCCAGCCACACAATACTAGCGTAAAAGTCCGAGTTAGCATGTTATAGGTTGTCTCAGTAGAATAGCTAATCCAGCATAATATTAGAAACATGAGTCCGAGTGGTGAGCGTAGGAAGATAATCCATATCACATATCGATTGACTCATTCTCAACCGTAAAGAGCCTGATACATACAAAATGTCTTGCCCCACAAACACGGGTGGATTGAAGTCATCACCATCAACATCAATGCTTGCTGGTCAGTAACTCAATCCTCCCTCCTTTTGTGATGTTAGGCTCATTTAAGCTTATTTTTGGATATATGTCATACCTCATACAATCCTCTGTGTTTCACAACCTGTTGGAAAACACTATTTCTATAAGTACCATTTTACAAGCTTATCAAGCAGTTACAAATTATGGACTATGGGTAAGGCATCGATGCAGTGCTTTAATTGACTATAGTATAAAGTATAGTTTGCAAATTAGAGTACAAGCATTAAGAAGGGTATAATGTAGGATAGTTGTTTATTAAAGCAGGCGGAAATGTACAGAAGTATATGAGTTGTAGATAAGGTAACGAGTGGGGAAATAATATTAATTGCTAGTCAACATAGTGTACACAGGAGTAAGAAGCTAATAAAGAATAAACAGGAAGAAACGGACACTAACTTGGTGTTGATGTTATTTTGTGTTGTCCTAACCAGTTGATGGGTAACAGGCTCCATAAATGCAGGACCACTGTTAGTAGGCATTCGATCGTGAGGTTCTCTTGACTTTTTAGGGTGGCAATGAATGTCCCTTAGCGACCGAATTTAGTTGAACAATATCGATAGATCCAGTGAGTTACCTGTCTACTTCAAGCAAAGAAATAGAGTGAAAAAGGTAACTAATACAACTGCAATGTAGGAAAAAATGAGGCAAACTGAACTTTAAGTCCATTTTGATCTAGACATGAAGAGAGCCTATGATGTCTGAGTGAGGCGCAGATGTGTTCGTACGTGCCAGATCAGTGCAAGTGACGGCTTGATCAAGCAGTTTTACAAACGTATGTAATTCATCTGCCATGCGTATTTTGGAGGGAAGAATGAGGCCATGCGATTTCCGCATTTTATATGCTTTGGCTGAGATGCGTCCAGAGAAATTAAGACTGCGTGAGTAATATATCCCTAGGTCAGTTAGTGATGCTAGTCTGGGCAGTGAGTTGTTGTTAAGTGTTAGTTTCATTTTAAGAGACGTGTCTCCCATACATAACCAGCCGCATTTCTCTGTGTTGAGCTCTAACCTCCAGCGTTTGCACCAGTCGTCTACCATGTTCAGTTCATGTTGGACTGTTTGCATAGTACTACGTACATCGCAAATATCAGTTTTATGGATGACTTTTAGGTCATCGGCATAGAGATAGGTCTTACCTGTGCTAAAGCACTTGCTTATATGGTTGATGTAGATTATAAAGAGCAATGGACCCAAGACACTACCCTGAACAACACTACTGGTTATTGGTCGAGGTGCAGATGTTGTAGAGTCAATCTTGGTTATTTGGTATCTGTTCGTAAGAAAAGACTTGATCCATTGCAACTGACTTAAGTCTGTTGATTAGAAGATTATGAGGTACTTTATCAGAGCCTTTCATAATATCGAAATATAGTATAACCACTAGTTTCTTCTGGTCACGTATGCGGGTAACCTTTTTAAAGAATTCTATCAGACATGTACTGCAGGAACTTGTTCTAATGAAGCCCTGCTGTGACGGGTCTGTTGGATCTTCCTTAAGTAGGTGATCAGATAGTTGATTTTGTATCACCTTTTCCATTATGCGTGATATTTATGGGTCTGTAGTTTTCGACCAGGTTTCTCGGTCCGGATTTGTGTTTGAGAAGGACATACGTTACCTTCCAGGTTTCCGGATATGTACCTGTCTCTGCGG